GGATTGGCTGCAGTAAGTTGTCCCATTTTGCAAAAACAAAGCTCTCAGAAGTTAGTAGTTTCTTTAATTTAAGGAACTCTCAGAACAAATATTTTGTCCAGCCGTGTTTTCATAGCCTCTATAACAGGGATGAAATCCAGCTGGTTCTGACAGTTCTGGAGAACCGGTAGCGGAAAGTTTGAGCAGTTTGGGGAACCAGTAGTGGAAATTTTGAATATTTCAGAGAACCAACAAATACCACCTCTGGCTGGCCCCAGAATGGGGTGGGAATGGAGATTTTGCAGTATTCTTCCCCTGCCACACCCACCAAGCCACACCATGCCCACCAAGCCATGCCCACAGAACTGGTAGTAAAAAAAATTGGATTTCACTACTGCTCTATAATCAATATTCTGGTATAGATAAGCCTTCCTTAGAATTGATTTAGAAATTAGTTTTCAGATCTGTCCAGGAACCAAACATTTTTGAAGAGTTACTACCAACCCAAGTTAGGACTTAATTGCTAGGAAATGAATCCACTGTCTTTGATTGTCTAAGGCTCTAAGCTGTAAAGTGAAGTCTTATTTCCGCTTTGTACGATGAGTACATCATTTCCATCATTTCTCTAATTTCCTGCACCATTTTATTCTTTCTGTATTAGTATTGTTCCAGATTTAAAAGTTCTGCTGTTTTCCTTTTTTTCCCCAAAGTCAAGCCGCTTGCAGACAAAGCAATCCTCTCCGAAAGTTCTCACAAGTATTATCACTGATATAGTTCAAAGTATTCCAAAACAAAGATTCCAATTTGCAATGCTCTTTTTTCTCCTGAGGATGTCTCTCTAGAATCCACAATTCTCTTAATTGTTTAACAGAGTGTCCATTTTGTATCAATCTTTGTTAACAATCTAAATTCTTTTTTTTTAACTTTAAAGATACCAAATCAGTTTTATAGTCCAGTCCAAATTAAATAATACTTTTCCCCTCTTTTTTTTTTCTCCTTTAGTTTATCTTTAGGTATAGAGCACCTGTGTTGCAGTGTTTAATATCCAATTGTCTTTTATTTTTCTTAGTCTTCAACAAGAAAGGATGTATTTATTTTCTTTCCAATCCTTTAGTCAATTTTGGGATTATTTCTTCTAATTCTTAAAATTTTCCAGTTAATTTTATTCAAAAATAAATTTTCTTTTCGGGTTTTTGTCCCTTTAAATTCCGCTTACATCCTTTTTTCTTCCCCCATACCCATTAGCCTCTAGTTTTACACTGGGGGGTTTCAGGTTTTAAAATAATTTTGTTGTTGTTGTTGTTATTTCACCTGTGGGTTGGCTTCAAAAACTCCATTGCATTCATCGCTCCTGCTCAATACTTATTTCAGTTGCCCCAGCTTCTTGACAGCTGCAATGGCTGCCGCCTCTGCCGCCGAATCGGAGAAAGATTCCTCTGACCTTCGAGGAACTTGCCTGTTCCTTTGGTCTTCTGAGGTGCCTCTCCTTCTTCCCCGTCCCTGGATGGTTCTGGTCCAAAGACCCCTCGGCAGCGGTTCGTCAATCCGGGCTTTCGTGGAGCTCATCAGAACACGCTAATTCCCCAACTGTCTCGCCACAACGCTTCCAGTTGAATCCCTTACAGAGAAGACTTGAGGAGAAATGTGATAATCATATTCACATTGTCATACAGAAGAGGCAATAGACTTGTTCTCCAGTACATTGAGGAGCAGAATCAAAACCAGTGGGCTATATGCCCACTCTTACCCAATCTAAAGCTAGATACCAGGCATTGACACACAACTAGCGCATTTGGCCAAGAACTAACAATCTGATCTTGGATTACTCAACCTGTAGGTCAGAGGGTTTATTTTGTTAGTGTTTTTCAAAGAGCATTGTGCTAATGTAGTACCATCCTTAAAACTTTGCCTACTGGTTTACAATAAAAAGTAATAAATTTTTGTAGGAAATAACAATTTTATTTATTTGTATATTTTCTGATTTTTCAACAACAGTGCAAGTAGAGTGACATTTGTAGATTGCTATGCTTCCATGAGCTGAGGTAAATGATACTTTGTCTCAGCCCACTTTGTACTGAAATGAATATTTTCTGTTTTGAAAACAATTTATTTAATCAAAGCTAGTGTACAGCTGTTCTGAGATACTTGAGGAGTAAGAAATGAAGGCCAGGATATTTAGGATGAGATGCAGACAGGTTGTCCTTGTTTAGCAGCTTGATTCTTCTAGCAATCGTTCATAGTTATAATAATGATGAAAAAGTAACTGTTTCCCACAGTTAGCTGAAAGATTTAAAATGGTTAAAAATACTTATGGAGCAAAGTAAGACAGAATTTGAAATACAATTGCATATGGTTTATGAATATTAATTGTGAAAATGTATAAACTTTTGTTGAAATTTGAAACAGGAAAAAACTGGTTAGAGAATATATGATAAAATGGGCTAATAATTTTGTTTATGATATAAAGATGGGATGGGAAACTCTTAGTGGGAAATATGTGGTTAAAAGAGTTGAAATGTACCGTATTTTCCCGAAAATAAGACCCTGTCTTATATTTTTTTGAACCCTGAAATAAGCACTTGGCCTTTTTGCCATGAGCTCAAAAGCCCGATTGGGCTTATTATCAGGGGATATCTTATTTTGGGGAAAACAGGATATATTGTGTTATGATTCAAAGATACTTTTTATAAAATAATGTGTTGTTGGTATAGGACACTAAAGAAATTATCTAGAACATGGGTGTCAAACTTAAGGCAGATCTAAGGGTGCTTAGATCTGGCCCACAGGGCCGCCTTGAAAGCAGTGAAGGACTGGCCCATGGTGCCTCTGCCAGAGAAAACGAAGCTCCCAAGCTCCATTTTCACTGGCAGAGGGTTTCAGGAGGCCATCCCAGCTGAAAATGGAGCTCGGGAGGGCCATATGTGGCCTTCCAAGCTCCATTTTCGCTGGCAGAGGGTTGCAGGAGGCCGTCACAGCTAAAAATGGAGCTTGGGAACCCATTTTCATTGGCAGAGTGTTCGGGCCACCACAGGCGCCCCCGACATGAGTGATGTCAAGATGGCCATGCCAACCCTGGCCATGCCCCCCACCCCCAAGGTCAAACACAATCCTGATGCAGCCCTCAATGAAATCGAGTTTGATCCCATCTGATCTAGAATGTATAAAGGCACTTCAAAAGTATGTTTGAAATGTGAACATCCTGATGGGACATTTTCATGCTTTGTTGACTTGTAAAATAGCTATGCAGTTTTGGATTCAAATATATACTTTGATACAAAGGATATTAAAGATCAATATTCAATTGAAGATTTAATGGAAAGATTCAGCATTCTCCATTATGGAGGACTGGTTGGTAAATTTGACACATTTTGTTGAAAAGAGTAAACTGACTTCTTTGAAAAAAAGAAAAGACATTATCTACATTTATTGAAGGTTAGGAAGCTTGAGTTCGAGACCCAAGCACTGCCATGGGGTGGGGTGAGCTCCCATCCTTCGCTCCAGCTCCTAATGGGGACATCAAACTGGGCTTCCCCCAGACAGTGGTGATGTCACCGGCTAATCCTTCAATCCAGAAGCACATAAATGCTTTCAACATGAGTGCGATGCGACCTATATTTATTGATGACTCGAAACTTCTTACGGTCTTTTTGCATAAAACTGGGGGAAAAAATAAACTTGCGATTTATGGCTTTGATTATTAGAACAGATAGATTATAGAAAGAAGAAGAATATGTTATAATTTTAAAGAATTTAAGAAATATTGGTATTGATAACTTTTATATAATTTAGCAAAGAAGAACCTTTTTGAAAGCATTCTGTGTGCGGATGTGTACATTTCTGAGAGCGAGAATCTTAGAATGTCACCAAGTAGCTGTAAAGCAGGTTTTGTAACCTTAACCAAAAAAGGCTTAATTGAGAGGAAATACCTTAAGGGGACAAACAAAGACTACCGTATTTGAAGCCTACCAGGAAGTGTACCAGAAAGGGAGCTGCGATCAGGAAGTCATCAGATGTTGAAAACTGCTGGATCCTGGAACCATGAGCACTTTGTAACTAATGTCATTAGATGCCTCTTTAGACCTTGCCAAAATTTCAAGCAGAATTTATTTATTTATTATTTTATTTATTTTGTCGAATACATATTAGATAATATATGTAAGTATAAGCATGAACTGAATACATAAAATAGATAGGAAACATTAGGACAGGGATGGTAGGCACGCTGGTGCTCTTATGCATGCCCCTTACAGACCTCTTAGGTGAGGTCAACAATAGACAGTCTTAGGTTAAAATTTTGGGGGGTTTGGGATGAAACCACAGAGTCTGGTAGTGCATTCCAGACATTAACAACTCTGTTACTGAACTCTGTTACCTTTTCACTCCTGGGGAAAGGATATTGCAAAATCTCCATTCCCTCTCCACTCTGGAACCAGGCAGAGGTGGTATTTGCCAGTTTTCCGAACTACTCAAAGTTTCCGCTACCGGTTCTCCAAAACCTGTCAGAACCTGCTGGATTTCACCCCTAGACTCAAGTTCCCCCACCATACAGACATACACAAAAGTGACTCTGGTGAGAAGGGAAGGTTAAGTGCCCTCTCCATTTACTAAAATCTAGTTATGTACTGGCTTAACAGGCCCCCTATAACATTTCCTATTATCTCTGGTATTTTTTTAGAAAAAGTTATGCTTCTGATCTGATTGTGGAATACAAAGTAATTGGTTGACCTTTTCTACCAAGTGTCTTTGAAACCTGAATGGGGAATTTCCCAGTTACAGTGTCAGGTAGATCAAACTGACTTCATTTCAGGAACTGAATGCTGCCTCTGTCTCTTCTAATATGTTTCTTAATAAAGATAATTCTACTTTCAGGAAGTTTGGGTACAAAGGATGTAATGTGGTAATCACTGCATTTTGCAATATACTCTTCTCTTAGAGTAGCTGGTGATGTAACAGGGAAATTGTCACTCACCAAATAACTCCATCCCTCCCTTCTTATTAAGATAAACAGACCTCCCATTTGGTTTCAGTCTGAGCCAGAATTAGGCTCTGTAAGCATGGCTGCCTTCCAGCCTCACCTTTGGGTTGTCTTCCTGACTGGGGTTATTGTTGAGGCCTCTGCTGTGGAAACATTCCTTGCTGCCGTCTATGAACATGCTGTTATACTTACAGGACCCACACCAAAACTTGTCTCTCCAGAAGAAGCCCTGAATTTAATGAACAGAAATCTAGACATCTTAGAAGAAGCCATCAAAACAGCTGCTGAACAGGTAAAACGCACGCAGGGATAGTAAGTTCCATCTTCTTTGTACTTGGAAGCTGTGGAATCTCTTCACTGAACTGGCATTCTTCTTCTTTTCTTTTTGTAGGGAGCCCGTATCATTGTGACCTCTGAAGATGGCATTTATGGGTGGGTCTTTACTCGGGAAACAGTTTATCCTTATCTTGAGGATATACCAGATCCTGAAGTAAACTGGATTCCGTGCAATGATCCAGAAAGGTAATCTCATCAAATCTAAGTAGAATCTCCTTGAAGGTAAAGAGCCACTTTGGCTAGTGTGATGGGTAGAGAAAATGGTATTCAACCGGTTCGTACCAATTCAGGTGAACCCACATGCTCTGGCTCTATGACGTCCTATTTAGGCATGTTTTTCAGGCCAGGCGCATGTACGGAAAGCATGTGAGCAAGCAATGCATGGAAGGTCGGGTAGATGCGCGGAAGGCATGCACGGGGGGCAAACTGGTGGTAAAACTTGGAAACCCACCGCTGATGTGTAGCATATAAATTTAATATATAGGCTCAGTACACAAAGTAGTATAATGATTCTCAGTTACTTATAAGCACACTTCTCCATTCTTATAGTGAACTAACAGTCGGTTTTTCTAATGCTCTTGTATGTACACAACAGTGATTCCAATTTGTATTTGTACTGTAAAGGCAGAATTATAGCTGCTTGGATAATTAAGAATAGCCACACAACTTTATTTACCTCATATATAAAATATTTTATTACATTTTACTTGAATTTTGTTTGAGTAAGATTGCACATGCAATTAGGAAATGCTGTTACAATGTGAGTTTTCAAGTGATTCCCAGTGAAATTTGATTTCTCATTTAAAAAAAAAATTATTTCTGTATTTAAATTTATTAAAGCTGGTTTCTTTGGGAAGTATATTTCCATAAGTAAACAAGTCTCTGAGAGAAAATGTTCATACACATTTTGCAGATTTCTTTTATTATTTTATGTGGAGAATTGTGGAGTTCTAAAAATATTGTATCAGACTGAATTGATAAGCAGTCATAAACTTGTCTGCCCAGATTTCTGTCACTGGGTGGCAGTATGGCAATAGCTTTTTCCATGTAATATATTCATATTTTAAATCCCTTAGTTTACTGCACTTTTGTATATCTGAGAACATAATTCTCTGTAAAAAATCAAGTTAATTTCCTTTGGGGGAGTGCTGCCCTGAATATTATGGCCCAAGCAGATACAGTGCTAAAAGGTTTTCTGAACAAACAACATTCCTCTCTTGGTGGAATTCACCTTCAACCTGCTCTATCCCACCCAGCCTGTAGACACCAGATCAAGAGTCCACTGGACTTCTGGACTGGCTCTGGGTTGAAATATGTGGATATTATCAGCAGAGATGTCAGCCCCACTAGGTAGACTAAATCATAAAACCAACTCCACAGGAAAGCTTAGGATACTTGAATTGAGACTGGTTATAACAATAGAATCTTGGAAATCTAATCAATCTATACCACCTCTCTCTTCTTACGCTCCAGTGAAGTGGTGGGTGTCTGTCTGCACAATTTGCAAATATCATCTGGACATTTTGATGAAAAATATTTCATCCCCCTTTGCCTAAGCAACAGCTTCCTATATAGCTTCAAGATTATCTTCATTACTTTCTATACTACTGATTCAATCCAAAGCAACGGGTAGCCTCTTCCAACAATTTTATGCAAAAGTTAAAGGGATGTTATAATATTAGTTAACTCTAGAATTCTTCCAACAATTTTATGCAAAAGTTAAAGGGATGTTATAATATTAGTTAACTCTAGAATTCTGGTCAGCTGTGACCTGACCAGAGGCCAAGTGTCACCCAGAAGAATGGGTCTTGTAACTCTCAGAATTCCTCCATCAGGATAGCCTGACTAGAAATTCTCAGAATTGTCAATCTAGAACTACTGGCAGATTAATGCAATGTTTCACCATCTTAGTTTTAGTTTTAGTATGTAGAATAAATGTATACACTGCAAAAGAATATACAAGCCCCAATCTTGATATATATTATGAAGACGCAAATGGTTATACAAAATATGAACCAGCCACAGGTAATAAATTTGCCTCTTCTTCTGGGGTCACTTTTCTAGCCACCATTGATATACTGATAGTAAGACATCCATATATAATTTTTGCTTAAGATTTCCTTGAAAATATGTTATTCGTTTGTTCTTACTCAAAAAAAAAAAAAGAGAGAGAGATCTCTTTAAGGCTGTTAATACTTCTAAACAAAGGGATCTGCAGAATCAGAGGTTTTCATCCAAACAAAAATCAGCAATTGCATGACACAAGCCCCAGCCCTTTCATCCAGGCATGAAATATCAAGATGCAAAATGCATTTTACCAAGCTAGTATCTGTGTACTGTGGATCGATCTGCCAGATTTCTAGTTCCTAGATACTGCCTTTCTCATTCAGTTCTTCCTTTCCATTTTAGGTTTGGATTTAACCCAGTGCAGAAAAGGCTTAGTTGCATGGCAAAGAATTATGGCATCTATGTGGTTGCCAACATGGGCGACAAGAAACCGTGCAACTCCAGTGATCCAAAGTGTCCCAGGGATGGTCGCTATCAGTACAATACCAATGTTGTTTATGATTCAGAAGGAAAGTTTCTGGCCCGTTATCACAAGGTAACTATTATTAGGATGACTAATATAGGCTTCAAATGTTGTAATGTCCATTAGTTGCCATCTAAACATGGTAGCGCTATCAGTCAGACAGTCCTCTGTGTAAACACGGTACAAAATATAAAGTAATGCTGCTGTATTTGAATTAAAAGAAACATATACTCTCACCTGACTTTTCCATAAGAGCTTCAAGGAGCAAGGATTGCTCCAAGTACTACTAGAAGCATGAAACATTCAGGGGTTCATCTCTTTGTTTTGAGAATATGAAATCCAGTTATTATCAATAACTTCGTTTTTCCTGATTGTTTCTTTTGTAACATTGTAAAGGAAAGCAATAAAGTACAGATATGTAATAGAAAAACATCAGCATCACATGTGTTCGTCCCTGTTTTTATGGAATATTTTTCTTCTAATGATATAAATTGTCTTTATCTCTGTCTCTCTCCACCCCCACCCCCCTTTTATAAACAGTACAATCTTTTTGCCTCAGAAATCCATTTCAATTTTGCAAAGGAGCCACAGTTTGTCAACTTCAACACCTCCTTTGGGAAGTTTGGCGTTTTCACTTGTGCTGATATGCTTAACTTTGGTGAACCTGCCGTCTCATTGGTGGAAAAATTCAAAGTGGACACCATCCTTTTTCCAACTGCTTGGTTAAATACTCTACCCCTTCTGTCTGCTGTTCAATATTACTCAGCCTGGGCAATGGGAATGCGTGTGAATATCCTTGCAGCTAATATACACAAACCCAGTTTGGACATTACTGGTAATTACAACCTTTCTATACTTGGTTTAAAATTAGATCTTAATATGTATCATGCATATAAATGAATGCATACTAACGACTGGCTTAATACCTCACAGAAAATCATAAGGTGGTTTGTTTGTCTTACTTGACATACTGTGTGGCCTTGGCTTTAATGCTTTGGAACCATAGTTCATGGCTTAGCATGTAATGAGAATCTATTCAACTGTTGTGATTTACTGAGGCTTATCAACATGTATAAAATAAGCATATAATGTATAGGCAAACACAGTGGAAAATAAAATTTATTATTGCTGATGAGCATTCTAAAGTCGGTAAAATTAAGACCGGGGGCAATAGGCTGACTCTGCAAAACCACTTAGAAAGGACTGCAAAGCACCATGAAGCAGTATATAAGTCTAAGTGCTATAGCTATTGCTATTTTAATGATGAGAGATGTGTATTATATTTGATTTGGTGCCAGGTTTTCATTGCTTTCAATGTGCTTAGTTTTATAGTTTTAATATGGCCATTATGCTGTTTTAACTTCTGATTGGAAGACGCACAGAGCTGGTTATTAGATGGGTGGCTGTATAAATGTTTTAAATAAATAAAATATAGCAAAACATTGAAATGGGAATATAGCAACTTGGTGACTCAGCATAATACTATAGAGACCATGTTGACAGAATGACCATGTTGACAGAATGTAAAGAATAAAAAGGGAAGTGAGTCAGCACAATGGGGACAAAGTCAGAAGAACATAGAGAGGGAGGAACTGGAAGAAAAAGGCTTAAATTTTGTTTTATAAAACTCTGCCTGATTGTTAAATAATTGCATTTAAAATTGCTTTACCCAAATGTAAATTAGGTATGAATATGCCAAGGTGGTTTTGGTGTCAAAACTTAAAGTAATTCAGTCATCCAGGGAGAAACAATCTCCTGTTGGCTCCAACTCCAACTAAGAAGCCTTGGTGGAGTAGCAGACTAAAGCGCTGTTAAATAGCACTTAGTTGCCAGCTGCCTGCAATTACTGCAAGTTCGACTCTCACCAGGCTTAAAGGTTGACTCAGCATTCCATCCTTCTGAGGTAGGTAAAATGAGGACCCGGATTGTGGGGGCAATAAGCTGACTTTGTATAAAAAAGAGCACCCCTTAGGGCGGGCCAAAAGCCCTACTAAGCAGGTATATACAAAAGTATGAAGGCTATTGCTTAATGCATTGTAAGCCGCCCTGAGTCTCTGGAGAAGGGCGGCATATAAATCGAACCAATAAATAAATAAATAAATAAATAAATAAATAAATAAATAAATAAATAAACAAACAAACAAACAAACAAACAAACTCTTAATTCATTATTTGTTTTAGATAGGGCAATTGCATAAACATAAAAAGAAGCATCATACAAACCAGGTGTGAAATCCAGCAGGTTCTGACAGGTTCTGGAGAACTGGTAGCGGAAATTTTGAGTAGTTCAGAGAACTGAACTACTAAGGTGGACTGCATCACCTTAGCAACAGACTTTCTGGCCCCATCTTCTGTCAGTAAGTGAGGACTACCTCTATTCCTTTTGCTATTCTTTCTCTGAGGGACACCAAGAAGCCCCTTCAGGTGCAGGATGAAGCTGAACAGTTGTTTAAGAAACAGATTTCTGAACTGATCAGGGTTAGAATTTCGAATCATCCATGTAAGAAATCCAGGCCTCTTGTATTCACTCACCAGGGATGAATCTGGCTTTGTTTCAGGTTCTGCAAAATTTTCATAAGCCAGTTTCTAGCAAGAACTTGACGAGCTGCATTCCATTACAGTTGTGATCTACCAGTAGAACAATGAACAGATCTGTCCATCTATTTTGTCTTCACAGGGAGTGGCATTTTTACACCCAATGGCCCGAAGGCATATCACTTTGATATGGAAAGCCAGAATGGCAAACTCTTGGTCGCAGAAATTGAGGCACGTCCCCGTCTTTCTCCCACCTACCCTCCACCTTTCAACTGGAGCTTGTATGCATCAGGGCTTCAACATTTCTCACCAGAGAGCCCAGTATTTCACAGCAGTATCTATTTTGATGATTTCACCTTTACAGAACTCTTGCAAGAGGCAGGAAACTATACCGTCTGCCAGAAAAACCTGTGCTGTTATTTGAACTACAGTATGGCAGAGAAACAAGAGGATGAATTTTATGCTTTGGGTGTTTTTGATGGGCTTCATGTGATTGAAGGAGAATATTATTTGCAGGTAAAGGACTCGATGAGGCATGATGGGTTGTGGGACTTTCGTGTATGGAAGGGAGAAGAGCAGGGATCCATATCTCAACTGGAGCAGGTTATTGTTCTGACTAAGGCATGTTGGCAACAGTTAGATTTCCAGTTAAACTCTCCTTCTTGCCGGCATCTTTTACCACAGCGGAAGGCAGCCGACTATTTAGAAAGTCAGCAAAAGCCAAAAGGCATATAAATAGCTTTGACATTCAGCGTCAGTATTGGATGCCTGAAACATCTGCTTCATTGCCTCAGGATATGCCTGACCTGAATAAAATACTTTCTACTGAATGGAAGGGGGTGGGATAGAGAAACTTTCCATGATAAAGTACTTTCTATGAATTGAAGGGGAAAAAAACTTTCAGCGTGACAAAGCCGTCAGGGCTACATACGCACAAACAACACAAATAAGACTATTCTTCTGTCTTTTCACCATTCTTATTTATTTACCAAATTTGTATAGTTGTCAAAAGTGACTCTTGATGGCATATAACAATCAGAGGAAACACACTCACACCCACACACATTAAGAAATAAATAGTATAAAAAACAAATATAAAACCCCACTAGGCAAACAGAGGATAAAAATGACCATCTCAACAATGGAACCATTTAAGCAATTTTCTGGTTCCCTGGGAGCCTCAGGCCTGGTGACATAACTAGGTCTTGAGGACTTTCCGAAATGATGAGCTGGGCTGATATAATTGGGAAGAGGTGATCCCTCAGATAACTGGGTCCCATGCCAAGATGGGCTTTAAAGGTTAAGACCAACATCTTGAATTGGGCCTGGAAGCAAACTGACAACCAATGCAGCTCACAGAGCTGGAGTGTAACATGTGATGTTCTGGAAACACACATATTTTAGTTATTTTTTAAAAAAAATTGATTTATATGCCGCCCTTCTCTGGAGACTCAGGGCGGCTTACAATGCGTTAAGCAATAGCCTTCATACTTTTGTATATTTATACAAAGTCAGCTTATTACCCCCACAAACTGGGTCCTCATTTTACCTACCTTAGAAAGGATGGAAGGCTGAGTCAACCTTGAGCCTGGTGAGATTCGAACTTACAGTAATTGCAGACAGCTGGTGTTAATCACAATGCTTTTAGTCTGCTGAGCCATTCTATGAGATGATTATATAAAAGAGTGATGTATGACAGTTCTCATAGAACAATCCTTTTCTAGGAAAAGGACTGAAATTAAAAAATGAACTATTCCTAATAGCTTCATTATATCTAAAAGAATAGGGACCCTGAAAAGACTTGCTAGAGGAATATGGCGTACAACTTTTAAAGGACAGATTACAAAAATAATATTGAAGGGCTTGCGCTAAGAGTTATTTGCTCTTTCACTCTTTTTTTTTTTTTTTAGTTTTAGCACCCTCCTGAAAATAGAGTACTCTATATTGCTTGAGGTTGTATAAATCTACCCAGGAATCTTTTCAGCTGAAGAAATGGCAATAAAAACAATTTTAATGCATAAGTGTTTAGTAGTAGTGTAGATTGTTCCAGCTGTTGCGGACAGCATGGGCTGTTATTCTTCATTTTGGTTGACCTGATTCCTTTTTTCTCCCCTCTGACTGTAGATCTGCACACTCCTGAAGTGTAACAGCACAGAGCTGAAATCATGCGGCCAGCGAGTTGATACTGCTGTTACCAGGTTCAATTTCTTTTCCCTCAGTGGCTCATTTAACACTAATTATGTGTTTCCTGAAGTGCTACTCAGTGGGACCCAACTGGCTCCTGGAGAATTTAAGGTAAGTTTCTAAACTTCAGCAAGCATATTGACTTCTTGAGATATTTTTAGGTTAACAAATAAGCCACTTGAAAAATACATACTAAGTTACAAGAATAGTGTTGTGATTATGTTAAAAGCATATCTGCAATTTCACTAGTCTCTATGGAACAGAACAGAACAGAACAGAATTGGGAAGTCTTCTAGTCCAACCCCCTGCTCAGGCAGGAAACCCTATACCATTTCAGACAAATGGTTGTCCAATCTCTTCTTAAAAGCCTCCAGTGTCCAAGCACCCACAACTTCTGGTGGCAAGTTGTTCCACGGATTAATTGTTCAAACTGTCAGGAAATTCTTCTTAGTTCTAGGTTTCTTCTCTCCTTGATTAGTTTCCATCCATTGCTTCTTGGCAACCATTTTTTTCTAATATCATTAGTTGACGACTCTGCTGTGTGATTCATCCAATATACTATTTTCCCTCAGTGAAGAAGACTTGCACCCATTATATCCAGCAAGTAACCACTGGAAAACCAATAGTGTGTTATGACCCAGATTGTCTAGGCAGCAGCAGACTTCAATAGAGTCCTTTATTGCTCTGTTAAATTCCACAACAAACAGCCCTACAACGGCCCGGTAAGGCTTCACCCCAAACTTCCCTGAAGGCAGCCAAACAAAAGCCAACAAGCAAAAAAAACCAATTCCCGATGGCAAAGACAAGCTGCAAGTTCATGGGACGAGGTCCAGAGTCAAGGTCCACAGGGCAAGTCAAGTCGACAAGGCAAAGGTACAAGGCAAGGCACTGGCAGAAACATGAGTCAAGGCTGAGTTTTTCCAACACTGGGGGAGTGCATGCCAAAGCAAACAATTGTTCCCAACGAAGACTATCTCCCCCCACCCACCCGGCCTCTGCTTAAGTCAACTCTAGCCAGGTATTCCTTGTGAGGAGGGGCAGGGAGACCTCCCGAGCAGCTTGCAGACTTCCTTTGTAACTGTTCCTCATCAGAGGGATCTGCTGTCTCTCATCACCATTGCCTGTCTGCAGCAGATTCCCTCCCCTCCTCCCCATGTCTGTGAGGGCAGGAAGCTCCTGTCTGGTCAACCCACCTCTCCCAATGCCTGAGGGCAGGGGTGAAATCTAAACTTTGTTACTACCGGTTCTGTGGGCGTGGTTTGGTGGTGGTGGGGTAATGTGACTGGGTGGGCATGGCCATTTTTTTTTTAACTTTTAAAACCATTTTTTCTACAACCTCTTTGGCTAAGAGGTTGTAAAAAAATGTTTTCAAAAGGCTCTGAGGATCCAAGCTGAGTTCCCTGATTGGCAGAGGCTTTTTTAAAAAAGCCTCTGCCGATCAGGGAACTCAGCTGGGATCGTCAGAGCATTTAAAAGAAAAAAAAACCCTTGTTTTCTGATCAGGGAACTCAGCTTGGATCCTCAGAGCATTTAAAAGAAAACAAGGGGTTTTTTTTCTTTTAAATGCCTTTGACAAGCCGCGTGATCATCAGAGGCTTTTTAAAAAAACTTTTAAAAGCATTTTTTCCGCCGAAGTTGTAGAAAAAATGCTTTTAAAAGTGAAAAAAAAAGCCTCTGATGATGTGCGGCTCAGCTGGGCATGAGGGGTGGGTGGGGATTTTTGCTACCGGTTCTCTGAACCACCCGCCTCCATTGCTACCGGATCAAGCGATCCGTTCCCAACATTTCACCCCTGCCTGAGGGGCCTGGGACAGCATCACCTTTATCCCCTGACCTCTCCAAACATTCTAGAGGAGATGTGCCATCCCCATTGGATGGTCCTGGTTTCAACTCCTCCTTCTCCTCTGAACTGGGATCTATATGACAGTGGTAGGTGAAGAACAGCTTTTGCTGGAAGTGCTGAGAGTTTCATCTAAAGCAGGCTACATTAGACTGGACTAGCCCATTGACCTCCCATGCCTGTTCTCTATGGTTGTGTACTAAATTATTCAGCCATGAAAGACAAACTGAGTCCCTATGTTCTTTATTTCTAAGCTTATAATAAAGAGAGAAGGACGCGGTAGGTCAGTGGATAAGAAGCTGAGCTTGTCGATTGAAAGGTCGGCAGTTCAGCAGTTTGAATCCCTAGTGCCGTGTAATGGGGTGAGCTCCTGTTACTTGTCCCAGCTTCTGCCAACTTAGCAGTTCGAAAGCATGTAAAAAATGCAAGTAGAAAAATAGGGAAGGAAACAGTGTTCCATGCCCCTTTGGTATTTAGCCGTGCCGGCCACATGACCACGGAAATGTCTTTGGACACTGCTGGCTCTTCGGCTTTGAAACGGAGATGAGCACCGCCCCCTAGAATTGGGAACGACTTGCATATATGTGTGAGGGAACCTTTACCTTTACCTTTTTATAATAAAGAGAAGGTTTGACCATGTCCTGCTAGAAGACACTTCTGTTGCCATCTAGGGTCCATGCTATAGTTTAGGCCTATACTGAGAATCAAAGAGTAAACCCCTGTACCTCAAGTCTGTCTTCATATTTGAACGAGTTCTAACCCTTGTCCACTATGTGCTTATACTGTAATTCGTGACAAAACAGCGCTGCCAAACATCACCTGTAATTCTGGCCCCAAAAGTATCAGGAATATGAATCATAGAGGCCTCGAAACAAACCAGGCCATTTCCCCTCCAAGATCAGCGAGTAACCAGATGTTATCTTTATTTAGAACAGGCAGCAGTAGAGATTGATGAAACTGGATTGTTTTGTCAGATAGCAAGCTGCATAAAGCAAAAAATAAATAAAAAATCCTGATCGGAAGCTGCTATGCTTAATTTTCAGCGATTAAGCTGTCGGTATTCTCAAGCATATTCCTTCTCCAATAAAAGTTTTGCACATGTGATTTTTTAAAGTATACTTTTTTTTAACTTCCAGGTTTTGCCTGATGGACAGATGATAAGTGAAAAAGGCCTGTCAAAACCACTTTTAGTGGCGGCTCTTTTTGGAAGATGGTATGAAAAAGACTCTCCACATCCTACCTCCACCGCACCATGAACCAGGCCTTCATGATTTACTTTCCTTTCATGTGGACGATATTCTGTGGTTTGAAAATATTAATCCTGGCATAGAAATTATGTCTATTTTCTAACATTTCTGGTAGCTAAAGAGAAAAGCCAAAGTGAAAGATAATCAATATTCCAATATGCACAGGAGCCAAATGAATACTTCAAATGATGCAAACTTTCTTCATCCTTGAAAATTTATGGGAATCCAGATGTTACTGTATTCCCTTGTCTATATGAGTCAGGGTACCATATTTTTCGGAGTATAAGACGGACCTTTTTCCCCCCTAAAAGGGGGTGAAAATTTAGGTGCGTCTTATACACCGAATGTAGCCTCGCCCACCCACTGGCTCCCACTCTTTGGCCTCTGTCTCCCAGCATTTACCCCCTTGTAGTAAGCAGCAAGAAGAAACAGCTCCTTTCAGCTTCAGCACAGCCTAATTAGCACAAGTTGATTGGATAGGCCTCCTGACTCTCAGCTGTTTTGCGCAGGGCTCTGCTGCTTGGTGTCAAGGAGGTAAATTGCTGGAGCAGATTTTTTTTTTCTTGTGCTAATCAAGCTATGCTGAAAACGAAAATGAAAGTAAAGCAGGCTGTTTGCTGTTTGCTGCAAGGAGGCAAAATTGCTGGGAGGCAGAGGCAGAGGCAGATTTCTTTTTCTTGTTTTCCTCACCAAAAAAGGTAGATGTATCTTATACTCCGAAAAATACAGTACTTTTCATAACAATTTCCATCTTTTCACTTTCCACCACAAAGCTGTGGAGCAGGAAAAGAAAGGATAGTGCTACTTGGAACTTTAGGCCTCATTATTAGCATTTTAATAAAGGTGATATTAGGATTTTAGCATGGCATTCATGCTTCCTTACAGGCATGGGGCTGGTGTTGTTTTGCAGAGAAAACTACTTTTGAGAGATGTGTGTTTAAAAGTTCAAAAGGACATTGGGACATTAAAGGAAAAAAGGTCATTACCTGAAAACAGGAAGGGTCTGCTATTCTGATAAGCAAATCAGCTTGTGCAAGCAGATTAACCAACAGTTTTAACCATACAGCCTGGCACATTAAATTGAGGCAAGCAGTAGAGAAATTAACTGCTTGCCTCAATTTATTATGCTTAAACTGCTAAGATTGTAAGGAAACAGGAATTGTAGGCTAAGAAATCAATTTAAAAAGGGGGAAAGGTGTCTAGAAAAAAAAGGAACTGGACAAAAGGTGAAGAAACAGATAAAACATGGAGATGTTCATGAAGAGGGGAAGAGGCATTCCGAGAAGATTGTGACTCAGTAGTCTTTGTCGAAGGGGGCTGCAGGGGAGGGATTTGTGCTTCGGGCTGAAGGAATAAAAAGTTGATGAAATCTATTCCTGGATGTAACCCACATAGCTGGTCACCCACTCTTGCAAGAACATATTTTATAATAAACTGTTTGCTGCTTCACTTTATGACTCTGTCAAATTTCTTACTGGTGAGTCTGTTTCTCACACTCCTTTTTAAGTGTAGGAAATCATGTTTTCCCTTTAAACCAAAACCATTTATTTTAAAGCACAAAATTTAGCCCAAAACAAGCCTGAGTGGAAAAGGAGAAGATACAACATATTTTAGGGTAGAGGGTCCCCAACCCCCAGTCTGCAGCTCACTACCGGGCCACGCCCCATTCGGAACTGGACCAAGAAAGTGGCGGGTGTGCGTGTGCAGCTCCATTTGTGCAAGCGGTGTGTGTGTGTGTGTGCTTGCACTCAAAGCTCCATTTGCACGAGCGGTGGGTGCACACGACCCCTACTTGCACAAATTAAGTTGAGCATGTTCACACGCATGCCTGTGGCTCACATGGAACCATTCCTTCACCCCCACTGGTCCGCCAAGCCACTGTTTAGAACAGGGGTAGTCAACCTTTTTATATCTACCGCCCACTTTTGTATCTCTGTTAGTAGTAAAATTTTCTAACCGCCCACCAGTTCCACAGTAATGGTGATGCGCGAGCTATTCTGGGACGAGGCTCTTTTTTTTGCGGTCGCACTATAACGCCATTTACTTACATAACGTGAACTAAACTTATGCGTGGGCAATACAAATAGTATATTTTCAGAAATTTAAATTGTCACGGGGAATTTTATGAAAACCTAATGAAAATGTTTTTAAATAATGCTATGAAAATTTTTTAAAAAGTCAATTAAATTAAAAAACAGAAAAGTGCTTCAGTATCAGACAAAACCCCACCGCCCACCATGAAAGCTGGAACGCCCACTAGTGGGCGGTACGGACCAGGTTGACTACCACTGGTTTAGAAGTTTGTTTTCTCTCATATCTAATCAATACCTTATTTATTTATCTTTCTGACCCATATATATTAAAATGTATGTATCATTTGTTTCTCTGCCGTATATAAAATCTTGAACCCCTTTAATAAAATACTTTTTGCTTCTCCCAAAGTATTTGTGGTTCTTATTGTCAGTGGTGAAGGGAGCAAAAAGTCACTTTGCAAAGATATTGAGTGTTTCTGTCTCAAATTCAGGGGCTAGCTTCTTTCCAGCCCCATACCAACTCAAGCGCCCGGGTTTCAAAGGCAAAATTCATATCATATCCTTGTTGATTGGTAGTTTTCTGCATTTGCGCATGATTGCTCTAGAAGGCATCTGGTTATATTTTATAACCAGGAACAACTGTGCTTAAATATAATATTAAAAAACTTAAATAACAGTTGCATTTTTTAATACAGTTAGTCCTCAATTTATGACTGATTGCTTAACAACTGTTAGTATTTATGCCATAGAATGATCACACCCCTGCCATCCTAAATGGTCACATTGCTTCCCCCACCGCCCCACCCCGATCATGTGATTGCAAATTGGGTGTTTGGATACCAATTAATTTTATAACTGGTTATGGCATTTTGTGGTCATTTGGCTATGATTTGCAATTCAAATCCATTTGAATGAATGGATTCACACCTGTCAACAAATTTGCTTAATGACTGGTGCAAAAAATGTTGTAAAATCACTTTGAGTCATATGGGTGCCTCGGCTTACAACCGTAATGATTTATGACCAGATTTGCAATCCCAATTGCGACCGTAAATTGAAGACTACCTATAGTCCAGTGGTGAAATCCAATTGTTTTTTACTACCGGTTCTGTGGGTGTGGCTTGGTGGGCATGGCAGGGGAAGGATACTGCAAAATCCCCATTCCCTCCCCACTCCTCGGGGAAGGATATTACAAAATCTCCATTCCCACCCCACTCTGGGGCCAGCCAGAGGTGGTATTTGCCGCTTCTCCGAACTACTCAAAATTTCTGCTACCAGTTCTCCAGAACCTGTCAGAACCTGCTGGATTTCACCCCTGCTATAGTCACAATATCATCTTCAAGTTGGTTGGGAGCTGATCTTATATACTAATTACTGTGTCAGTGATGAATGTTGAGGCAACTGATCTGTTTTGCTTTGGTAAAGGGGAAAGAGTATCTTCCCAGGAAAAGTCAATATTGTTGATTAAATTTCTCCTTTCCTTAGTTTCATTGTCATATCTGGGAAGAGGAAGGTATGGACAATCCAATCCTCATTTCAGGCCATAAATACTCTATTCATCTTGAAACCAAATGAACAAGTTTGAATTCTTCATGTTTCATCAATGGAATGATTGTACCAATTGAATATTGAGCAATGTTAAATTATCTCTTAGCTCTTTTAAACAAGCATTGGCATTTCCTATATTCAGAGCCTTAAAAAATCCTTCCCCACAGAAACAAGCAGTGAAGTTTCTGAACCCCATTTTTCTTTTAAACAAATTGACTTGATAGGCAACTTACTTCTATTTGTTATAAGTTTGTTATATGTTCTATTAGTTGGAGTGGAAAGGCCACTGTGTAGTGAATAAAATGTTCTGAATTTTCTTTTTGTGTTTACAACACTTTTTTCCCCTTAAAATAAATCACTTGATTTATTTAAGCAAGTCTCCCTGGCTTACTTGGACACACATATTGTGGCCAAAATGGCAGTTTGTTATAAACTACTGGAATGTGATATGTAAATCTTAAAAGAAGAATTATGGGCAAGGCAGTATCGCTGTACTATAAGCAAGAAAGGTGTGTGTGTCAGGGGTGAAATCCAGCAGGTTCTGACAGGTTCTGGAGAACTGGTAGCGGAAATTCTGAGTAGTTCAGAGAACTGGCAAATACCACCTCTGACTGGCCCCAGAGTCGGGTGGGAATGGAGATTTTGCAATATTCTTCCCCCAGGAGTAGGAAGGGAATGGGGATTTTGTAGTATCCTTTCCCTGGAGTTGGGTGGGAATGGAGATTTTGCAGTATCCTTCCCCTGCCATGCCCACCAAGCCACACCCACCAAGCCACGCCCACAGAACCAGTAGTAAAAAAAAATTGAATTTCACCAGTGATATATAGATATCAGTGATATATATATATATATGTATATCTCCTACGATCAGTCTTATCTTTATGCAGCATGAAGTGACTGTCTTGGGAATTAGGGATATCCTGAAAGCAGAGCAAATTGATATTTTATGTATTATATATTATGTATTATTTTTATTATTGTTATTGTTGTTATTGTTATTATTGTGCCTTGAAGTCATTGTTGATTCCTGGCAACTTCCTGGCCTAATCCCATTAGCTTTCTTGGTAACATTTCTAGAAGTGGCTTGTTATTGCCTTCTTTCTGGGGCTGAGGGAGAGCGGTTGGCCCAATGTGATCTAACTGGCTTTGTACCCAAGGTGGGACTAAAATTCATGGTCTTCTGGTTTCTAGTCCAGGATCTTAATCACTGCATCAAATTGTTTGTCCACTGGATTTTGTGTGAGTTGAACTTACATTTAACACATTGCCTTCCTTAGGCATCTAGTAGATGAATGCTGATTAAAGCTCTCATTGAAAGTTATTATACTTTATTTTTATGCTAACTGGTAAAGTTACAGTATATGTTGAGACATCTTGGCGCTTTTATATGCAAATGCCATTTATATATAAATCCTTCCTGGTGCTTATTGCCAGGAACATCCCTCAAGTGTTTAGGAGCCAATGAACTGTAGCACCTGTGAGCTTGGATTGTTAGGTTCAAGGATGCTTAAAAATATATGACATCCTATCACTGAATACGTTCCACTGATCCCAAGATCGCCATTTGTAAAAATCTGTTTTGCTGCTTTAAACAATTCAAGCATCCCAGACATGGGTCCTCTGGAGTGACTCTTCTTCTTCTCCTCCTCCTCCTCCTCACTCCATTCATAGCATCAACCATCATCACAGGTAGAGTCAATATTTTACTTGCTGTACGCAAATCATTATTGCATTATGTGCCAATTCTCAAACCAACATCAATTCTTAAATAGCTTTCACAAAAGTTAATCACTTTTTCCCATAATAGCAATAGCACTTAGATTTTGTATACCATTTTACAGTGCTTTTTCAATCCTCTCTAAGCGGTTTACAGAGTCAGCCTATTGCCCCCAAACAGGGGTGGGTTCTATTTACCTTTACTACCGGTTCACTCTCTTATGTATAGAAGCTTCTGCGCATGCGCAGATCACCAATAATGACATCGTGCTGGGTGGGTGGAGCCTCCCGCCAGTTTTACTAGCAGTTCTATAGAACCGGACAGAACTGGGAGCAACCCACCACTGCCCCCAACAATCTGGGTCCTCATTTTACCCACCTTGGAAGGATCAAAGGCTGAGTCAACCTTGAGCCTGGTGAGATTTGATCTGCCAAATTGCAATCAGTCAGCAGAAGTATCCTGCAGTACTGCACTCTAACCACTGTGCCACCGTGGCTCATAAATAATTTAATAAATGAATTAAAACATCTCCCAACGTTAAGTTACTAAGAAATCTGTTTCCAGATGGGCAATTTTAAAATACAGTCTATCATTTGCTTTTCTGTTCTAAGTTAGCAACTGGCACTTCCTTATATTCATCTACAATACATACTTATGTATAGAGTTTGTTTATTTATTTATTTATTTTATTTGTCAAGAATGTATTAGGTGATATATATAAGTATAAGCATGAACTTAATACATAAAATAGATAGGAAACATTAGGACAGGCACGCTGGTGCTCTTATGCACGCCCCTTACAGACCTCTTAGGAATGGGGTGAGGTCAGCAGTAGACAGTCTTAGGGTAAAATTTTGGGGGTTTCGGGATGAAACCACAGAGACAGATAATGCATTCCTAGTTGCCCACTTCTCTCTTTCTATGGCAGATTGAAATTATGAGCAATTTTGTTTCTCCCTGCAAAGAAACAGACAAAAGTCTGAGATTCTAATCAGCTTACAACTGCTTGTATTAGGTGCCTAATAGTATTGGGAAAGCAATGTGTTAACTATTAGTTGGACTCAGGCAAAATCAAGAGACGGTCCAATAAAAACCAGTAATCACCCTTCCAGGCATTCATCCAGGCATTCCAGGCATTGTTTTGGACAATCTCTGGTCTTCCAGAATGAGGAAGTAGAAGCAGAAGTTGCAAAAGAAAGCCGGTGAGTAGAACAAGTTTGAATGTTATCGGCTTTTTGTGTTCTTTGTTTTATTTCTAATTGAGACAATTGCTTTAAAAAGTATTCCATTGTAAATGTTTCTTTAGAAGTGTTCCCACTTGCCCAGATAAGAGAGAGGCAAATTGAGGCAATAGAATTAATTTTGGGAGACTATACTTGACTCTAACGGGGATAGGTGTGGCTATCGTAACTTCAACATTGGGCCATAAATGGCTTTTGAGAAGGGTCAATCGTAACTTTGGTCATTAAGCAACCATGTATAAATTGAGGACTGCGTTTTAATCTAGAGCACCTAGATTTCAGTCTATATATTTAGTTTTGGAATATTTATAGAAAAATAGTACAATATTCCTTTTTTTCTTAAAGAGGAAGAAGACTAAGAGCAAAACAATATGCCTGCTTGCTCAGATTGAATCTAACCATACATATTCAAAGATTTGTTTCTTTGTCTGGGTGATTTGAATTAGAGTCAAAACACAGAAATATTGTTGGAAGCATAAAAAGTTCAAAGTGCATCAAACTGTTACTGATTCATTTCAAGAAACCCTATCAAAACTCAACAACTGAAACAATCACATTATCAAAGGTCATCTGATTAAATATATGCTATTTCCAAACACTCTGTCTTCACTTGATCTACCTTTTCAATCTTGTTTTCTCTCCCCCCCCCCAGTCTATAAGGACATGGCATTGGCCTCCTCTTCATCTTTACAGCTTGCTTTTATTTTTATACTTCTGGCGGGGCTCAGGACTTTAGCCTTGGACAAATACACCGCAGCAGTATACGAACATGCAGTCATACAGCCAGAAGTAACAGGAAAGCCTGTTTCCCCTGAAGAGGCCTTAAAATTGATGAACCAAAACATGGACATCTTAGAAGATGCCATCCAAAAAGCAGCAAAGCAGGTACTGGGTACTACTTGCTAATATGCATTTGTTGGTAAAATGGTTGTCCTCAGTAGTGGGATTCAAATTTGTTTACTACTGGTTCTGTGGGCGTGGCTTGGTGGGTGTGGCATGGCTTGGTGGGTGTGGCTTGGTGGGTGTGGCAGGGGAAGGATACTGTAAAATCTCCATTCCTACCCACTCCAGGGGAAGGATACTGCAAAATCCCCATTTCCTCCCGATCAGCTGGGACTTGGGAGGCAGAGAATAGATGGGGGCGGGGCCAGTCAGAGGTGGTATTTAACGGTTCTCTGAACTACTTAAAATTTCACCTACCGGTTCTCCAGGACTGGTCAGAACCTGCTGAATACCACATCTGGTTGTCCTGCAAGGGAAGGTGCTTTACCTTCACTTCTTTTGACAGGGAGCACATATCATTGTGACTCCAGAAGATGCCATATATGGATTTAACTTCACCAGAGAGACCATTTATCCTTACCTTGAGGACATTCCAGACCCACAGGTCAACTGGATTCCATGTACCGATCCTGAAAGGTATCTTGTGCTTTGCTTTTGTGTAGTCTCAGTTTAAAGGCACTTGACTGTGGTAGCCTTCTCTTAGGTTTGTGTTTCAGTATTAGAAGGTACACCATGACATGGTCAATGTGTCTTGAAGGAAGGAAGGATCTTTCCATTGTAGCATCCCATTTAGGGATCCATTAGACCTCACCTGCTATCATCTGTATACATCCTCCAGATAAGTTGAGCTACAGTGTCCATCCACCCTGACCAGCATGGCCATATCTTGCTTGCTTGCTTACTTGTTTGTCTGTTTATCACACTTTTTAACTACCCCTTGGCCTCAGAGAAGGGTTCCAGAATACAATTTAATCATAAAATTAAAAAGAATAATATTATTTTAAAAACAATATATAAAATAGCTACAAATTACAAAAAAATTAAAAAAAGAGAATATGCCAATATCTGTCAGCTACATAGACTGGGATGGATTTAATCTAAACTGAAATAATGGTCAGCAATACAATAATTAGGGCCTGAGTACATATTTATAGCAAGCTTTCTCCACAGCGCTCAGGCAGTGCATGTAATCTCTGCTTCTGTTTTTATAACCACTCAAGGAATAGGATGAAAAATGATATCTGCTTCAAGATTCCCCAAAATGTTTGCAACAGAATGCAAATTTGAATTTAAGCCAGCATCTAGCCAGGCTTAGCTGATCTTGCAAAAGCTAAGGATCAAAATGAATACAGTAAGCACTTGGATGGGAACTACCAGGATATCTCACTAGGCAAGCCTGAGAAATGGATAAAATTTCTCAGCAGGAAATGATAAATCACTTCCATAATGATGAGAAAACTATAAAACAGCCATGTAATCAGCAGAAGTCCATCTTGAGTCAAAAGATATGCCAAGCTATGCCCAAGTACATCCATCCCAGTAATTCATTCCCATTTTTAAGTGTGTTCTTCTAATCATTAACTGTGCTTGCTAAGCTGCTCAGGAGTGAAAGAAGAGGAAATGGGGAGGGACAGGGGTAAAATTAAAAAAATTTCCCTACTGGTTCTGTGGGTGTGGATTGGTGGGCATGGCAGGGGAAGGATACTGCAAATTCTCCATTCTCACCCCACTCCAGGGGAAGGATACTGCAAAATCCCCATTCCCTCCCCACTCCTGGGGGAAGGATATTGCAAAATCTCCATTCCCACCCAACTCTGGGGCCAGCCAGAGATGATATTTGCCGGTTCTCTGAACTAATCAAAATTTCCGCTACCGGTTCTCTAGAACCTGTCAGCACCTGCTGGATTTCACCCCTCCTATAGTCACAATATCATCAATATGACTTCAGTAATAGAGTGGTCAATGCCTGGTATGCACTACCTGACTCTGTGGTAACTTCCCCAAACCCCCATAACTTTAACTTTAGATTGTCTACTGTTGACCTCACCCCATTCCTAAGAGGTCTGTAAGTGGCGTGCATAAGTGCACCAGCGTGCTTACCGTCCCTGTCCTAATGTTCCTTTTTACTCTTACTCTTTTCATATATTCAAATTATGTTTATACTTCTACCTGTTATCTTATATATGCTTGACAAAATAGAATAAATAAAATAAAAAGAGCGCAAGCAGCACATTGGCAGAACCAGATACATCTAGTTTGTTATCCATCCTCATCTCTTTCAGTGACCTTAAGAAACGAGGCATTTTTGTCAGTATTTTGCCCCTCATTTAGCAACTAGGTATTGTCATTTTTTTTTCACCCCTGCTTAATGCCTTCGTCAAAAGCACATTTTGGCACAAGAAAAAGGCAGCATTTGGCAACTTGACATAATTTGGCAAAAAAAGGAAGTCTGGAGGACAGAATCACATTTAACAGAGAAAAGCAAAGTGAAAGAAAACCAGAGGGGAAAAAGATCTCTTTAAAGCCAGAAATTCTTTTTAACAGAATGAAATTATTTTTGATTACCAAGTGTTTATTATAGCCATCTTTTATAAAAGCCACCAATTACTTATGAAATGCATAGAACACATTTGCAAGTATTTGCAAGAGAGACACACACAGAGACAGAGACAGAGAGACAGACAGAGAGAGAGAGAGAGAGATGGTACCTTGTACTTTCAAAGACCTACTCATATTCATTCCTGGGGGTCTCCTGAATTGCTTGATTTCTGGACACACTCCCACCCTCACCCCCTTTTCTCCAGTTTCTGATCATGCCTCAATAATAGAATACAGAAGGAATGAATACTATAATACATGCAATGTTACATCAAGGTAAAATATATTTGTAAAAGAATTTGCTGCTGGGGAGGGGGAAGTAGAAGAAATGAGTGGTCATTGCACAAAGCAATCCTGATACTGTTGACCAGGTATAAAAAAATGTTCTGCAACATGCATTTCTCTGGCCTACATTGGTTTTTATTAAACCTGATTACTGCAAGCAGATGAAGAAATTACGTACATTAATTTACTTGTTTATCGAAAGTGGGGAAATAACTGGAGAAATTTTATGTCATGTACATTTGGTAGAAAGTGTACCGACAGTTGTAAAAAATACATGGGCTCTGAATAGATTTGGATTGAATACAAATAAGTGACTAGTATGAATGAAGTGCAGACAATACATTGAAAGTACAAAGGAAGAGTAATTGGGTTGAGGGGAAGGGGAAGATGAAAAAATCAAGGTTGGGGCGATATATGTGAAAAAAGGAATCGAGGCAGAATTAAAGTACAAAGATACTAAAGGGAGAATTCTAATGGTAGAAATTAGGAGAGTCAACGCAAAAATGATGTTGGTGGGAGTATATGCTCCAAATGAGTAACAGGGACAATTTTATAAAAAACTACACGAACAATTAGGGAGTCAGGCCCATGCTGAAATATGTATGTTAGGCGATTTTAATGGAGTTGTTAATCCACTGAAAGATTATAAAAGTGGGGAGAGAAAAAGAAATAAAAGATTACCTCTACCAAAAAGCTTCTTTGATCTTGTCGATGAAATTAATTGATATATGGCGCACTTTACATCCTCACGATTCCCAATATACTTTTTTCTCAAACCCACAGAATTCTTGGTCTAGAATTGACATGGTATGGACTACTAGAAAATTAGGTTTAGAAATTAAGAAAGCGGATATAAATATAAATACCTGGACAGATCATAAACTTCTTGAAATACATTGGCACCATATTAACAAGAGAAGACAACAAAGATGGAGTCTAAGGTTCAACCTTTTGAATGAAAAAGAGTTTATAATAAAATTAAATGCAGAAATTAAGCGCTTCTTTATTGAGAATGGCAAGCAAGGTACGGCGAAGGAAATTGTATGGGATACCATGAAAGCGTATTTGAGAGGAGTAGTGATATCGTATACGGCATTCAAAAATAAGGAAGAAAGGAAAGTTAGAGAGGATTATAATAAGAAATTAGAGGAAGCAGATAGTAAACTACAACAAAACCCGGGAGATGAGATGGCCAAACAAAAATGGATGATGGCAAGACATAACCTTAACATTCTGGATCAGGAAGAGTTGGCGCAAAAAATTAAGAGAATAAAACACTACCACTTTGAGAACGCCAACAAGTCGGGAAGATGGCTGGCATATAGATTAAAAAAAGAACAGGAAAAAAATCAAATTCTTATACTAGAAGACATTAATGGGGATATCTTGACAAAAGAAGTGGATAAATTAGAAAGAGCGAGAGAATTTTACGAAGCCTTATATAAAGAGGAAGTGATTGACCCAGACAAAATTGCACAATACCTGATGGAAGCTAACTTGCCACAGATAACGGAAGAAGAGAGAGAAATGTTAAATAATAAAATCACAATAGAAGAACTCAAACTGGCTCTCGCCAAAATAAAGAAGAATAAAACACCAGGTCCAGACGGTCTCCCGGGGGAAATCTATGCAAAATTCGAGGAAGAACTACAATCAGAATTGTTAGATATATTTAATGAGGTACTAGTTGGTACAAGAATCCCAGACTCCTGGAAAGAAACCTATATTATGTTGCATTCATCCTGGTGGGCTTCTCATGATTAGTCCAGATTAGGAAAAACACAAGGACAGGTGTTTCTCGGGATGAGGAAGCAGCGAACAAAAGGCTACCATCTCTTTTATTAGTTATCAAAATACAGCGTCATCAGAAGGCGTTATTATGGCTACACATCTCATATTACATACAAGAGATAGAAAAACATCCATATATTCTCCATATAAGTTTCACATTCTACCTATTACAGTAAATCATGTGATTTCTAGGAAAGCAATACTTAAGGTGCAAAAACAAGACTTAACTCTGGTTATTTGGTGCCAGTTACTACCAGGCGAGAGGCCCATCTCCTGTTATCTGATTACCTCACTTCTCAGGAATGTTCCGCAAGAAGATGTCTCTTATCTTTGCAAATACAGTCTATGTTTTGAACAAAGAGAGAACAAAATAGGGCCCTTTAGAGAGTATCCATATGAACCCGCTTTTCATAGTCAGATTATTTCGGTGCTAAGCTCCATACACGTGTCCAACCAGTTAAACTGGTCTATACATGTACTATGGCCACCGCATTCCCACAATATTACCCTCATATTGAAAGAAGGTGCTGATCCAAAACAGATAGCAAATTATAGGCCGATTTCTTTGTTAAATTCAGATTACAAATTATTTACCAGTATAATTGCGGAGAGACTAAAAAAAATTCTAAATGGCTGGATTCATAGTGATCAGAAAGGATTCCTCCCAGGGAGGCAAATGAGGGATAACGTGAGGACAGTAATAAATGTTATAGAATACTATGAACAACACCTGGAAAAACAGCTGGCGTTAGTGTTTTTGGACGCCCAAAAGGCGTTCGACAATCTAAATTGGAAATTCATGATTAACCAAATTGATTTGATGGGATTCAGGACAAATTTTAGAAAGATGATTGAAAATATATATTATAAACAGAGAGCAAGCATATTAATAAATGGGGATAAGACACGGACATTTTGGATACAAAAGGGAGTTAGACAGGGATGCCCCCTGTCCCCTCTACTCTTTATAATGGCGCTGGAAATCCTACTCAGAAAGATTAGAGACAACAAAGAAATCAAAGGATTACAAATTAAGAAAGAAAATTTTAAAATACAAGCCTTTGCGGATGACGTGGCCTTAATAATGGAAGATCCCTTGAAATCTGATCCCAAGGTACTCCAGGAAATACAACAGTATGGAGAAGTTGCTGGCTTTAAGCTTAACAAAACTAAAACTAAAATTTTAGCAAGAAATATGACGGAGATAAATAAGAAGCGGTTAGAAAAGTCCCTTGAACTTCAAATAGCAAAGAAAATAAAATATTTGGGAATCTGGATCACTGTAAGGTATTCCTCCTTAAAAGAGGACAATTATAGTCCATTACTACAAAAAATAAAGCAGGACATAGATAGATGGAAGAAACTAAAACTGTCCTTTACAGGTAAGATTTCAGCAATTAAAATGAATATTCTCCCCAAAATTATATTTCTATTTCAAACCATTCCAGTGAATCTTGATAAAAAATATTTTCTAGATTTGGAAAGGAAGGTGCGAGACTTTTTGTGGGAAGGGAAGAAGGCAAGAATTGCATATAAAACACTGCAAGGGAAAAGAAGCATGGGCGGCTTCGGATTACCTGATTGGCAAGTTTACCAGAAAGCGGCCAAATTAGTATGGATCAAAGAATGGGTCGCATTACAAAATAAGAGAATCCTGACGCTAGAAGGCCACGATCTACAGGCAGGCTGGCACGCTTATTTATGGGACCCAAAGAACAAAAAGAAATCATATTTCCACAGACACAAATTAAAGGAGACTCTGATCCAAACATGGGAAGAAATTAGACAAAGATTTTATACGAAAGTACCGATTTGGCTCTCAATTATGGAGGCGTTGATTACTACTAATAAAAGGGATATTGTGAAATTTGGCACGTACAAAGACATATTAGATGAAAATGGTATTCTTAGATCACGAGAAACACTAAGTAATCAAGGTTTTAATTTGGACTGATGGAGCTACATGCAGATAAGTTCTAGATATCAAAAAGATAGGGATCAATTTGGTATAGAGACGAAGTACAACAATTTAGACAAAATTATGTTGGGGTTGAAAAGAAAATGCTAGCCAGATTTTATAACCTCTTATTAGGCGAAGACAGAGCAGAAGGGATAGCCAGGAATCAACTAAGCATTTGGGAAAAAAATATTGGCCACAGACTAAATTTCAATGACTGGGAGGAGGCTTGGAATAGAAACTATAATCTTACTAAATCAGCAACTTATAGGGAGAACCACTACAAAATATTTCACAGATGGTATCTAGCCCCAGCTAGATTAGCAAAAATATTTCCTAGCGCCTCAGGAATTTGTTGGAAGTGTGGAAAGGAGGTTGGCACCTTCTTTCATATGTGGTGGTCCTGCTCGGAGACAAAAAAGTTCTGGGCAAAAATACGAACTTGGCTGCGAGAAATAGTGGAAGAAGATATAAAATTATCTCCGGAAATTTTTCTACTAGGAATGACAGGAGATGGGCTCTCTAAGGACAAGACAGAATTAATTATACATATTATAACAGCGGCCAGATTAACCTTCGCAAAATACTGGAAAGATAAACAAATCCCTCCAGAGATGACAATAACAAATAAAATTCTAGAATGTGCAGAAATGGCAAAATTAACTAGTGTTCTTAAAGACAATGAGAATTCAAAATTTAAGACAGTATGGGAAAGGTGGTACAAATGGTGGAATAATAGAACAAGACTATAAGGATATGCCTATTTCTAATAATGATAGATTTGAAGATACTTGATGTATATAATGTATATATGTAATCGCACGATACCTCAGATGTTACCTGAGATTTGATATTTTCTTTTTAAAAAACCTTTTTTCAAAAAATCAATAAAGTATTTAAAAAAAAGAAAAAAAGAAAAAATCAAGGTTGGATGGAGTTGATGTATTTTTTTAAAAAGGGAAGTGAGAAATATAAGAAACAAAAGGCATGTGATGTTGGTGGACACATCCATGGTTGGTAGGGATAGAAAGGAATGCAGAAGCATAATAAATGGTGTGTCCTTTTTTTCCCATCTCCTGCCTTTAATTCTTCAGTTACTAATTCTCATTCTTTTTCTATTCCTTGTGTAACATTATTTACCCTGTGAGAGTACAGTCAAGTGTCCAGACTGTTCAAATGGTCATCAAGATTATTTGTAAGCTTGAGCTCTCTACAAGAATCTGAACTACTAGCGGCCAAGGGAAATTAGCAAGAGTTAAGAGTAGGATTTCAAGTTGACCAGGACTTATATCTCTTGTGGGCATGAAGGGACTGATGACGCGTTTGACCCCTCCCTCAGGCTCAGCCTGGTCATCTTCTATATGTACATGTTTATGCATGGGCATATTAGTTTAATCTTCTAGAAGATATCTCAACATATTAGGAGGGCTCCAAGTGCCAAAAGGTAGCATGTCATAACAGAAGGAAAACAACAGCATGGAATCCTGGATTTATTAATCAAATCACAATGTAATTGGATGTGGCATGTTCTCTTTTATGAGAACAATCTAAAGAAGAGGGTTTCCAATCTTCAATTATACATATATATATATATATATATACACATATATATATACACATACATACATACATACATATGTCTCTCTCTCTCTCTGTGTGTGTTTACCACCTAGAATCATGGTTGTTTAGATGGGAATATATAAATTACATAAATAAAGTAAGTTAACTGATTTTGTTTAATCTCTGCCCTTATGTGTGTTTAAAGTCTCATTGCTGAAAATAGCTGGTATGGGAATGGAGCAATTTGGAGTGGGGAAGAAACTGGGTACATTAGATACACTAATCTATTATTTGCTTAACTGTATTTTATTAAATAAACCATAATTTGATGGCTAAGGCTGCATACTAAGGCTTAGACTATGATTTACAAATTACAGTTACTGGATTCACACAATATCAAACAAATAACTTTATAAATTACATGTTGTAGATTTATAAACAACCTACTAAATTATATCATTATTAATTCAAAGTATCTCTCAGCAGGGAACCAGTGCCAAAAAGATTCATTTCATCTTTTCCCCAGTGAATTGGTGTTCCACTGATTGAGAGCACCTAATTATTTCCCGTATCTTTTCCTCTTCAGTGAAAAAAACCCCTTCCTGAATCAATTTCAAACAGAAATATAGCTGGAAGGAAAAAGATTTCACAGCATCTAAAGCTCACCTACTCCAACCTTCATGACTCTTTTCTTTCTTTCTTTCTTCTCTTTTGTATTTTAAAAGAAATAACCTCGCTTCTGATTTATTGCCTGTTTTGGTGTCTCTTTCTGTATTACATCCTTCAACATGGAGATAAATTAACAGAATTTAATTGTACTAATTCTTCAGTTCTGTGGTCTTCACATTTAGATTTGGATCTACTCCAGTCCAAAAAAGACTAAGCTGTCTGGCCAGGAGCAATTCGATCTATGTGGTTGCCAATATGGGTGATAAGAAGAATTGCCATTATATAGACCCAAAGTGCCCCCGTGATGGCCGCTATCAATACAACACAAATGTTGTCTTTGATTCAGAGGGAAAGCTGGTGGCACGATACCACAAGGTAAGATTACAAATTTCACACTTCACAAAGTGGCAGATATATATATGTGTTGTTGTCTGCATGTCACCACAATAACCCCATTTGTGGGGTTAACCCCCAGATAGCCCCATTTGTTTAGAGTTGTCTAGATCTTGTTGTACCCAATGATATAGCATATATAATCAAGATTATTTCAATGTTGAAACCAAAAATGAGCCCTAAATGAAATAATTAAAATAGATAATAGAAGATATTTGTTTTCCAGCACAACTGGAACCAAGCTCTGTGAAAATGCAGGAGACCACTATAAATGTGTCTCAATTACATAAAGAAGATATTCTCCTTGTAATAGGTGCTGATACTACATTATTAATAGGCACAGAGGTTCTGGGAAACCAGTCAATCAGAATTTAAAGAAGTTTTGGGATTTTTTTCCTCTTTTTTAAAAATGCATTACACTTTCACTTTCAGTTAAAAATGACTTGCAAGTCAGTGTTAAGTCAGTGTTACATGGTTCATACGTTTACTGAAAAACACCTTACCTGTTAACTAAATGTGTTATCTTTTAAACAGTTTAACCTGTTTAAGGTGGAACGTCAATTTGATTTCCCTAAAGAGCCTGAACTTGCAACCTTCGATACTGCCTTTGGAAAATTTGGCCTCTTCACTTGCTTTGATATTCTCTTCCATGATCCCGCTGTAACCCTCGTAACCCAGCTCTCTGTGGACACCATGCTTTTCCCGACAGCCTGGATGAACGTCCTCCCACATTTAACTGCTATCGAATTCCATTCAGCTTGGGCCATGGGCATGCGTGCCAATGTTCTGGCAGCTAATACTCATAATCCCATGTTCAATATGACAGGTAAGGTACTGGTTGGGATAAAAAGTTTGATTGGTATTTGGTTTTATTCATCAGACAGTTGAGAACCTCCAGCTGGTTGAAAAGTCTCTTCTTTGAGAAATCCTTTAATGCCCGCTTGCCAAAATTAAGATACGCGGGTGTGGTCCCGGCAGACAGAAATTCAGAGAGTAGGGAAGGCATTGCCATCAGTGTAGTATACAGAGTACAGTCCTATTCTTTCTTTATTGTGCTTCTACAAATAATCTCTCATTAGGCATGTAAACAGAAATAGCCTACAAATGAAGGTGAATATACATCACCCAGGATAATGTTGCAGGATCCAATCTGGGTCGGTCAATGGGACCAGCAGTTTTGTCTTCCGAGCTTTTGGATTCATACTGGAGCCCATCCTCAGGGAACTTCTCTCTAGCAGAGTGTGTACTTTGGGCTGTTCTATGTCTGTTAATTTATATAGTACAAGTACTTAGGAGGTGAGGGCTTGGCATTAGAAACAAACAGCCAACAACTTAATAGCCAGTCCTCAACACCCCAATCAACATCTAAAAAGCCATATATAACAGGCACCATAAAAATACCACACACAGAACAACCCAAAGCACACACGTTGCTAGAGAGAAGTTTATTTTATTTATTTATTTGTTCGTTTGTTTGTTTATTTATTTGTCAAGTACGTATTAGTTAATATATATAAGTATAAGCATGAATTGAATACATAAAATGAATACAAATAAAGGGAACATTAGGACAGGGACAGTAGGCACGCTGGTACTCTTATGCACATCCCTTAGGACAGAACTCTTAGGAATGGGGTGAGTTCAACAGTAGACAGTCTTAGGTTAAAATTTGGGGGATTTGGGGATGAAACCACAGAGTCAGGTAGTGCATTCCAGGCATTGACCACCCTGTTGCTGAAGTCATATTTTCTGCAATCGAGTTTGGAGCGGTTTACCTTAAGTTTGTATTTATTGTGTGCTCATGTATTGTTGTGGTTGAAGCTGAAGTAATCATTGACAGGTAGGACATTGTAGCAGATGATTTTATGAGTCATGCTTAGGTCATATCGAAGGCAGTGTAGTTCTAAGTTTTCTAAGCCTAGAATTTCAACTCTGGTGGCATAAGGTATTTTGTTGCGAGCAGAGGAGTGGAGGACTCTTCTCGTGAAATATTTCTGGACTTGCTCAATTGTATTAATGTCCGATATGCAGTGCGGGTTCCAGACAGATGAGCTGTGTTCAAGAATTGGTCTAGCAAATGTTTTGTATGCTCTGGTTAGTAGTGTAATATTACCGGAGAAGAAGCTACGCAAGATTAGGTTTACAACTCTTAATGCCTTTTTGGCAATGTTGTTACAGTGGGCTTTGGCTCTTAGATCATTAGATATGAGTACTCCAAGGTCCTTGACAGAGTGAGGGTTATCTACAAGGTCGTTCCCTGAGGATGGGCTCCAGTATGAGTCCAAAAGCTTGGAAGACAAAACCACTGGTTCCAGTGACTGACCTAGATAGGATCCTGCAGTAATAGCCAAGTTTTGCTTTGTTTCTTTGCATTGCTGATCATAAATACAATTTTTCTTTAAATTTTTGTGAGAGCCTGGAAGTCCACTGGTTCCTTAAGCATAAGGTATATTCTTCCTATTCTATTCTTGCTCATCAGAGTAGAAAAAGGAAAAGAGAAGGCCTATGGGGTGCATTCTTGTGCCTATGAATACATTTTCTGATCTTTTTTCAGAGTTAAATATGTGTGTTTTTGGGGTGGTGTTGTTTTCTTAAATATGTTTGGGGGGTAGGGAAGAAAAAATAATGTATACTGTCTGTCTTGCAAAGACATGATAAGAAAAATGGCTTTTATTCTTGTCATTTTTAGGCAGTGGTATCTACACACCATCCGGATCAGAAGCCTATCATTATGATGCAGAATCGATGAATGGGCATCTTTTGGTTGCAGAAATCTATTCCCATCCTTCTCATTTTCCCACCCCTCTTCCTCCTGTTAACTGGAGCTCATATGCCACAACTGTTGAAGGGTTTCCTGAGAACCATACTTTCTCCGGATTTATTTTCCATGATGACTTCACCTTATCTACCCTTGGAAAAAAAGCTGACAATCTTACAGTGTGCCAGAAAAGTCTCTGCTGCCATTTAAACTACAGGATGATGGAACAACAAGAAGATGAACTTTATGTGCTAGGAGCATTCGATGGTCTTCATGAGGTTGAGGGACAATATTACTTACAGGTATTCTTTTATTTATGGGGGAAATGCTAGACGGAAAGATGAAAGACTAGATGCCCACTAAATTTGCAGGTTGTATGTCTAGATAAACTTCAGCACTTTATTTTCATTATCTCGCTTGGAATAATTGTCTAGTTTAAATATTCGATCACTTTGTGGCTGCATCATGCACATGATGAATGGAAGTCTCTATTAGCAGGAAGAAAAGTAAGTCCTACATGTCTTACTCCTGGGAGGATTGAGGGAAATGTTCCCTCACACAGAGTTCTGGAAACTTGATTACCATGTCCTGTAGGATGCTGACACTGACTGGCATAAGAATAGGACCAATATTTAGTTTCATCCTTTAATTATCTGGATTCTTATTAATGAATCATATATTCATTGATACTTTTGCTGGCTGACTGGTACTTAATCATGCATGAATACATTGCATGGATATGTTTGGATAACGGTCACTGGAAGTATTGATAAGCAGTCAATAAGCTGTGAATATTTGGATAGAGGGCAAGGACCCACCCAATGCTCCAATGCTATTGGAGCAGACCTAAGCAATTGTTTTGCACAGAATGCTGGCCCACCTGTACGCTACACCTGATGGCTCCCTGGAGCCTACCAAATGTATGGAATCAGAAGTTGTGCTTGAGATGATAGGCTGTTTCTCCCAGGCTGAGGTCCACCATAAATTTGAGATTTTGTAATGAAATAAATATGCAACATCTAGGAACGGGCCTTTTCAATGGTGGCTCCATTGATGGTATTCCTCTTTGGAATAGCTTTTCTCAATTAGCTTTGACTATTCTTTCATCTCACTTTACCTCCCCTTCCTTCTATGCTATTGAACTCCAGACAGCTCTGAGAGACATTCTCTTTTTGGCACCAGGCAGAGATATATTTATTTCCCTGGCTACTTTAATCAATAAACACATTGATCTGAAAGACATTTGCTATTTAGACCATTGTTAACTTCTCTGCTACTGCTGCTTGTGTTGTTTGACTAGTATTTTAGGGTTATATATCATAGTTACTATTTTTCGGTATCTGGGATCCCATCTCTAAGGCAATGGCGACATCAATGGTGAGGTACGAGCAAGGGTGAATGCAGCCTGGATGCGCTGGCGAGAACTCACTGGTATGTTATGTGACAAACGAATGCCAACTTGTCTTAAATCTAATATTTACAAGACATCCGCCCTGTTGCACTGTATGGCACTGAATGCTGGGCAGCAATAACAGGGACCGAAAGCTATCTCCAGGCCATGGAAAAGCAAATGTTCCATTGGATATCCGGCATCTCCTTTCTTGACCACATCACAAATGACACCATTCAACAGCATTTTGGTGTGGCACCAATTACAGAGAAGATGAGAGAAGGCTGGCTCCGCTGGTATGAACATGTCCAGAGAGCAGCACCTTCCACCGTTGCCAAGACTGCCTACCAATTAGAAGTCAATAGCCAGCGACCTCGCAGCGGTCCACAACAAAGATGGCAAGACACCATCAACAAAGAAATGCAAGCCGCAGGCCCCGGAGACGCAACTGACCGTGCGTTCAATGATCCGAAAAGAGGACCCTGCATTTGCAGGAATACGCTAGGAAAAAGAAGATATTGTAGTTACAATAGTAACTAGTATTAATTTAGTATTAATTATGTTTAGAATAGATTAATTCTAATTAATTCTGTTTGGGTTTAGTCAATTGAGTTATGGGAAATTTAGTTTTATTTTTAAAAGGTAATATAAAAATGGCAGAAACTTCAACAGCATGCAAATGCCAAACTGCTTTTCAAGGATAAGGATGTCTTTTTTTAAAAAAAAATTACCTGCAAAGGCATTTCTCAGACAATTGCCGAGGCTGAGCACCACACAAAGCATTAGACTGCTTGGCATTTTTTTAAATCTTGGAGTGGCTTGTTTTCAAATTGGCAACTTAAGATATGTGGACTTTGACTCTCAGAATTCCCCAGCCAGCATTCTTGTTGGGGAATTCTGGGAGTCAAAGTCCACATATCTTAATGTATCGAGTTTGAAAAACACTTGCAGAGAGAGAAACTAGAATGTACATATCCAGCAACTACAGGTAGTCCTTGACTTACAACAAATCATTTAGTGACCTTTAAAAGTTACAACGGCACTGAAGAAAGTGACCCATGACCAATTTTCACAGTTACACCTTTGGAGTATCCCCATGATCATGTGATCAAAAATCAGACGCAAGTGGTTCATACATATGACCATTGCTATGTCCCGAGATCACGTGATCAATTTTTGCAAACAAAAAAGTCAGTCCGGAAACCAGATCCGTTTAACCACTGGGTTGCTAACTTATCAACTGTAACAATTTCTTATCACCTGATCCGGTAGCAATTTTTCCTTGTGGTTCAGTGATCCGGTAGTGATCGCTGCCCGGGTGTCATTACTTCCTGGTTTTAACCAGGAAGTAATGTTTTTTTACCTTCTGCCCATGCGCAGAAGGTTTTGCGCATGCACAGAAGGTTTTGCGCATGCGCAAGTGTGCACACACACTTGATGTGCGTGTGTGCTTCCAAACCAGTAAGGAAGGTAAGTAGATTTCACCTCTGAACTGCAGTGATTCACTGAACAACTGTGGCAAGAAAGATTCATAACATGGGGACAAAGCTCACTTAACAATTTTTTTTCAATTTTTTAATTCAATTTATATGCCGCCCCTCTTTGAAGTCTCAGGGCGGCTCACAATACATTTAAAATCCTAATAAAAAACATTTAAAAATTAAAAACATTAAAACTCATTCATACCATTCATGGCCGGATCTCGCCGGATCGCAAGAGCGAGATCAACGGCCCCAGGCCCCAAATGTCTCACTTAGAGATAGAAATTTTGGACTCAATTGTGGTCATAAGTCAAGGACTACTTTTAAAAACTGAGATTTATATAGCTGCAAGTCCTTGGTCACTGTGATACCAGGAACTCCTCTTATGCCAAGCTGAGCTCGTGCTTTCATCTGCTAGTTCTGAGTCAACAATCAGTAGGGCTTCTCCCCCAGCTACCAACATGCACATCAGAGGTGGGTTTCAGCAGGTTCTGACCAGTTCTGGAGAACCGGTAGCGGAAATTTTGAGTAGTTCGGAGAACCGGTAAATACCACCTCTGACTGGCCCCGCCCACATCTATTCTCTGCCTCCCGAGTTCCAGCTGATCAGGAGGAAATGGGGTTTTTGCAATATCCTTTCCCTGGAGTGGGGAGGAAATGGAGATTTCACAGTATCCTTCCCCTGCCACGCCCACCAAGCCACGCCCACCAAGCACGCCCACTGAACTGATAGTAAAAAATTTTGAAACCCACCATTGATGCACATGAGTGAGTTCCACAAAAGTTCCTTGCTATGGAGGAAATTACAATAATGGTTTGTAGTTCCTTTTCAGATAGTAGCAACTTGGCTCCTCTATAGTGAGTAGTTCAAGTATTGTTTGGTCTTCTTCTCCTTCCAGATCTGCACATTGCTGAAGTGCGGAAGTACGAACCTTCAGAGCTGTGGCCAGGCAACCACGACTGCTGAATCCTATTTTGACTTCTATTCTCTCAGTGGCACATTTGGCACAAACTACGTCTTCCCAGAGGTTTTACTCAGTGGGATTCGTTTGGCTCCTGGATTGTTTCAGGTAAGGTGAAATTTTTTAAAATTATAATTTTATTAAATGTGTCAAAGTCTAACATACAAGTGAAAATGAAAGTATTGGGAAAATGGGGGAGGGAAAGGGAGAAAGGAAAAGGTGTGGGATAAAGGGAAAAAGAAGAAGGAAAGCATTGACTTCCGACTCTATTTAGCATAGTAGAATAACATAATAACATGACAACCTCAACCTCAACCTCTTACATTTATGTCTATGGAGATTCTCAGTCATCCAGGTCATGGTTGTCCCAAAGGTGCTTTTTCAAGAGGCAACTGGACTTTCTGGTTTTTCTTTGAAGACATTTTGTTTCTTGTCCAAAAAGCTTATTCAACTCTGACCCACCATCCAGACAGAGCTGAAGAAGCTTCTTGGATGAGAAGCGAAACATCTTCAAAGAAAAACCAGAAAGTCCAGTTGCCTCTTGAAAAAGCAACCTTTGGGACTCTTACTTTTACATACTTAATATTTCTATAACAACAAACTTAACTGATCAGTTCCAGATTTTGTTCAAGTTATTTTATCCATTAAACCTAAAAGTTCCTGATTTAATTTTTTCTATTCACGAATTGTACCCCAGTACTTTCCCATCTAAAGTATACAAATATTGTTAGGGTGGGTATGAACCAAACTGGGCTTGAATAGAAGAAGTGCAGAAATGAATTCCCTAATAAGGCTCAGAAGAAGAAGGTGTTTTGGTCACTTTTTGGAAGCCAAAATTGAATTGTGAGAAAAATGAGGCTTCTCATTGTGTTGTTTTTACTTGAGTATAAACACACACACACACACACACACGTACGTATGTTCCTCCTATTTTGCTCTTTCAGGAAGCAGAGAACATTGGGGGAGGGAGAATTGAAGGAAAGGAAACACTATCCTTCCGTAAGTCTTTTCTCTATTTAAAATGGGAAGGACAGAAAAGATGTTATTTTCTATGCAGCAGAAGATAGCAGAAGATAGGTAACAGAAGATAGCAGAAGATAGATAACAATTATTTACCTTTTGTATGAAGTAAAGCAATCCTTGCAGGTAATAGTTATACAGTATTACATAACTGGTTATACAGGTAATCCTTGATTTACGATTGGTCACTTAGCAATCGTTCAAAGTTAAGACTGATCTCCCCAGGGCTACTTCTGATTTAGATTCAAAGTTCCAATGGCTGGGGGCCCTCAACAATCACATCATTGCATTTTGGGGATTTGGCAACCACTCCGCATTTATAGCTCTTTGCGTGTCTCATAGTCACATGACCATCACGCTTTATGAATATTTTTTTTTGCTAGCAATTGGTGTTTACTTCTGGTTTCCAGTAAAAACCACCCATTGTAGACAATGGATTTCCTTGACAAATGTGGAGATTGCTTAATGTCCATGTTGATTCACTCAATGACTGCTGCAAAAAGGTCATAAAATTGGGCACAGTCACATTCCAGGCACAATTACAGTTGTAAGTTGAGGACTACTTACATCTGTATAGTGTAATCTATGATTTTAGATTATGTCATACATAATAGAGTAGATTGCTTTTTTCTAAATACTCAACTTTTAAACTCTTGCTGTAAGTAAGCAATTTGTATTAAACACATTGCATGGCTTCAAAAGCTGCCTGAATGTCACAAAAATAAGATCTGTCAGATGATATTTGTCCTATGGTTTTTTTCACATAGACTTTAAAATCCCGTTGCTAACTGTGGCTTCTCCGCTTTTATTGAATTGAGGAATGGGAAACTTGTAAATGTTAGAAGTTGCTTAATTAAATCTCCTAGTAACCCTAATCCACATGTCCTGTGACTATTTCTCCATCTTGATCCAGTTCAGTATTATCTACACCAGGGGTGTCAAACTCTATTTCATTGAGGGCCGCATCAGGGTTGTGTTTGATCTCGGGGTGCTGGGTGGGCATGACCAGGGTCGCCAAGCTGAAGTGGGTGTGGCCTCCTTTTTAGCTGGTGGTGTGATCCAGGCCCATGTAGTTAATATTAAATGCAAAACAGTTCCAAAAAACAAACAGATTTTATTAAAACAACTCATTCTCAGCATATTCCAAATTAAATGAAAGCAAAGTCCTCAAAACACCATTCTTCAGTTTATCTCTGACCTTGGGATAATTAGGCAAACTGCCAAAGGCTTTTCTTGGCAAGAGTTCAGGAAAAGAAGACGCTGACAAGAAAAAAATACAGCCAAACACGAAGCAAAACGGTTGTTTTCCGGCAAAGAGGCCAAGAGCCATTGCCGGTCTTTTAAGCCTTATGGGAGGGGCCAATCATTTCTTGGCCCTACTCCTGAGTCGTCCTCTCTGCATTAGCTGCTCCTGTCTTCTGGCAGCTCTTCTCATATGTGCACTAGGAACAGGCTCCTCTTGTTCCTCTACCTCTCTACTGTTAGCCTCTGGAGTCCGCACATCACTCCCCGATGGCCCTGGCCCCATCTCTGCCTCCGACACAGAGCCCTCATCTGGGCCTTCCCCAGCCTCCAGGACTGGCCCATGTTCTTCCTCAGCCTCATCACTGTCTGACTCCACTGCCAGTCCGCAGGCTGCTGGCGGACCACAACAGCTGGGATGGCCTCCTGCAGCCCTCTGCCAGCAAAAATGGAACTGGGGGGGGGGCACATGTAGGCCCCTGAGCTCCATTTTTGCTGGCAGAGGGCTGCAGGAGACCATCCTGGCCAAAAACAGAGCCTGGGAGGACCGCGCGTGGCCCTCCCATGCTTTGTTTTCACTGGCAGAGGCACTGCGGGCCAGTCCTTCACTGTTTCTAGGGCGGCCCCATCAGCCAGATCTAAGCACCCCATAGGCCAGATCTGGCTCACGGGCCTTGAGTTTGACACTCCTGGTCTACACTGACTAGCAGTGGCTCTCATAGTTGGGAGTCTTTCCCAACCTTATCCAAATATGAGAGTTGTCACTGTGGGATCTTCTCTATACTATGTTATAAGAACTACATCTCCTCTTAATCTACTACTTTAAAAATGCCTTAACTCAAGAAATAGGAGAAATGTATACCTTATCTAGCTAACTGTATTACTAAAATTCTTTCATTCATCCCTAGGTTTTGAAAGATGGACAACTGGTCAGTCAAAACGATATCCCTCAGTCCGTTTTAACTGTGACACTTTTTGGAAGATGGTATGAGAAGGATCCTCCACACATTCAGAATAAGGTTGAATCCACTATTCAACAACTCAGTTGCTTGATTCTTTTACTGTTTCAGTCTGTTCTGGGGATTATTTAGCAAGAATCAGTCCTCTAATCAGAAGGAACCAGAAAACCAGACTTCAGTTTCTTTGTAGTCAAGAATGACAAAAACTCAAACTGCTATAACACTGTTTATTTGTCATTAATTTTCAACCAGGAAGCCAGCTGGGTTGAATTATTGAGCCTGTCTGAGATTGTAATATGAATTATGCCAACTTTTTGATTGAAAATTATAATCCGTGATAGTCAAAACCCACATAGTAGACTGTAGCCTTCTCCCGACCCATTGTCAGGTGCTCTTTATTTGAGGCTGTTTTAAAAATAAGGTGTCCTAGAGAAGAGAGAATTTTTATATTTGTAAGAGTCAAAAATGTGTAATTTCAAGTAAGGCAATCAATTGGGTTCTCAGATATTGAGAAGAATTTCTAAACTGACATCAGTAATACTTTCTGTTATATGATAATTAATATGGCTATGCAGAAAACGAAACTAAATATGAATGAAAAGGTATGGTGAAACTATGCCGAAGAAAAAATGCCTATAGAATATAAGTGTTAACTAAGAGATCATGCAAACTTCAGATTGAGCAAAAGAGAGAGCAAGAGAAAGAAGGAGGGAGGGAGGGAGAGAAAGAGAGAGATTCTTAGAAAATGAAGGATCAGCAAAAAATGGAGAGTGATAAGTTAGAATGCATGCATTCTGCAAACAAATACTTTTACTTATGGGCAAAATAATTCATAAAATCTAATGAAATGGGAGAAAAAATATTCCAGCATTTGAATTACCAAGAATTTTTTTGGTAATAACAAAAGGCAGGATATGGCAAAGAAGCAAAAATGTTATTGTAGCCTTACTGAACTGTTCTTTAGACTCAGGTCCAAGTTACAGAGGTTCTCCGTGTGTGTGGTGTGTGTGCATGTGCACACATTTTGTGCATGTATGCATCCCTCGAGAATTCAGAAGATGTAAATTGATGCTTCCTGTTTGGAAAATGGGAGTCATTCTTGACTAACAAATAAAAATTCCATCACATGGGGAAATTTAGATATGTAGCTTTACTTTCGTATTACAGTGTGCAGTGTCAGTGATAAGTAACAATCTTAGATTTGGAAATCAATGGTATGTCCATTTTATATGCTAAGACAGATCATTGATGTGACTGAGGGAGCTGAACTTTGAAATCCAGTCTGATATTGATCTGATTGAAGTTGCTGTCCTTGTCTGCCTGTATTTTAAATATTGGCCTTAAGGCTGGTTAAGGAGTGTTCCTTAACCAGCTATCATATGCTGGGCATTGCTATAAACCATCCTTTCTGGTGAAATGTAAATTTTGTTACTACCGGTTCTGTGGGTGTGGCTTGGTGGTGGGGGTGTAATATGACTGAGTAGGCGTGGCCAACTTTTTTTTTTACTTTTAAAACCATTTTTCTACAACCTCTTCAGCTTAAAAAATTGCTTTTAAAGCTTCTGACGATCGCAGCTGACTTGCCTGATCGGCAGAGGCTTTGTTTTTACTTTTAAAAGCATTTTTTCTATAACCTCTTCGGCCGAAGAGGTTGTAGAAAAAATGCTTTTAAAAATAAAATAAAAAAAGCCTCTGATGATTGCACGGCTCAGCTGGGCAATGGGGTGGGGCAGGGATTTTTGCTACCGGTTCTCCGAACCACCCGCTTCCATCGCTACCGGATCGGGCTATCTGGTCCAAACCGGGAGCATTTCACCCCTGCTTCCCTAACATTATCCTTACAGGATACTTGTTAGTCCAACACCTTTGGGAGGATGCCAGGATAGGGAGGACCAAAGAAATCTTTCCTTTGCGATTTGACAGAAGAATGCTGTGTTGTTACAGTCAACATTGTTTTAAAATGGATTGACTACACACATACAGACCAGTGGTGAAATGTAAAATTTGTTACTACTGGTTCTGTGGGCGTGGCTTGGTGGTGGTGAGGTAATGTGACTGGGTGGGCGTGGCCAACTTTTTTTTTTACTTTTAAAAGCATTTTTTTTCTACAACCTCTTCAGCCGAAGAGGTTGCAGAAAAAAATGCTTTTAAAAGCCTCTGACGATCCCAGCTGAGCCGTGCGATCATCAGAGACTTTTTTTTTCTTTTAAAAGCATTTTTTCGGCCGAAGAGGTTGTAGAAAAAATGCTTTTAAAAGTAAAAAAAAAAGCCTCTGATGATTGTGTGGCTCAGCTGGGCATGGGGGGTAGGCAGGGATTTTTGCTACCGGTTCTCCGAACCACCCGCCACCATCGCTACTGGATCAGGCGATCCAGTCCGAACCAGGAGCATTTCACCTCTGATACAGACACACAATTGTTATGCAAGAAGAAGAGGCAGGAAACCTAATTTCTTGAACACTGTTAAAACCTTAAAGGCTAACAAATCAATTAAACCTGTCAATGCTAAGTATGAACATTATCCTTAAAGAAACTTGGTGAAAAGTGTTCCTGGCTTTGAAACATGAAATAATTTGCTATAGTCCTGACCAAAAGAAATCCCTTTCTTTTTGCCAGTATGCCTGCATAGCAACCTTCGGATGTTGCCAGGATAAACAAGAAGCACCTGTCCACAGTGCTCTGTTCCTTAGAAAAGCAGTGCTTTCAAAACCATGCATAATAGCCTTTAACTGATAAGCTGACAAATCAAAGCAAATTCAAAAAATATTAACATTGCAAAAGGTAATTAACTCTGTATTAACCTGGAAAGATGTCCACGTTCAGAATAACATAATGGCAACTGATTGCTTTCGATATTGCGATTCAGTGTATTCTTGTATGTGTGTAACTATTGTTAAACGTAATAGAGCTTATTTCTGAGTAGCACCATTAATGATTGTATTAAACAGCTTGCTACACAAGGAGACATCTCATTGCAATGGGACTTGCCTTCCTACAACAGTGGTTTTCTTCCACACCTACCTCCAGATTCAAAGGAATCCATTCTACTGATTGATACTATACTATTGGTAGACTGAAATTGCTGGGTACATTTTTCTGTTTGTAGAATTGAATCATAAAACTGCTCAATTCTACAGCACTGTATGAAAGGAGACAAACTGGTTATATGTAAATCTCTGTCTGCAAACTGCTTTTAAAATGGCTATTTTTGGAAACATCAGTGCAGGTGTTGAGCAAAACCATTGCCCGATTTACCAATGAAATACTAACTACTGTATTTTTTGGTCCATAAGACGCTCCGGACTCTAAGATGCACATAGCTTTGGGGGAGGAAAACCAGAAAAAAAAAATCTGCCTCTGCCTCCCAGCATCTATCGATATTTATCTGGCTAGCGTCCTTGCAGCAAGTAGCAAACAGCCTGGTCAGCTTCAGCTTGTTATTGCAGTCTGATTTAGCATGAGCAGCTGATTGGTGGTTGGATCAGCCTCCCAGAATACTGTCCATCAGCTGTTCCAGGCTGCGGGGATCATTGCCGCAATTGCCGCCGTCGCCTATCGTCGCCTCTATGCATTCCATTTTTGGCCTCCGCACACCCCGTTTTCGGCCTCCATGCATGCATCCTGTTTTTGGCCGTTCCAGGTGGCGGGGATCAGTGCCGCCAAATATTGGGGTACACAGAGGCCGAAAATGGGATGTGCGGAGGCTGAAAATGGCCAAAGGGTGGGGGCCGGGGAGTGGGGGGACATTTCCACCCACTTTTTTTGGGGGGGGGAAGTGTGTCTTATAGTGCGAAAAATATGGTAAATATTAAGAATTATAAGCCCTAATGATAAACAGAAGGATGAAGATTAAATTCTGTGGATATACAATAGTGATTTAAGAGTTATGTTGATGTGTAATATTATCATCAATATGCTTGAAATGCTTCTGTAATTTTGTAGTCCAGGGGCAAACTTAAATAAATCATTCTGCACAGTTTCATTGTGATTCATTTTAATCAGGAACAATCAACTATCTGACAATTTTAAGTAAATAAATTTCAATATTAAATTAGATTTCAATATTTAAACTTTTCATACACGGGATGAGAAATGTGTTTTCAGGTGTAAGATATGCAAATTTAGTGGTAATAACTATGTGCCTATCTTTAGCATATTTATTTTCATGGTCTTGATACACATTTGATTTATTTATTTTTTTAAAAAACCATTAACGTCCTCTACACTGCAAGCAAACTTGCGCCTGGAAAGATTTATCATCAGCTTATCTTGTCTGAATACTTAATACTGACGTCATCATGTTAGTTAAGACTTTGCATCAGGCTGCAAATGAAATTCAGACTTGGTTGGACTCGGCTTCAGTTAATTGAAGTTGAATGGCTGATAAGTGATATTTTGGGCTATTTTGGATGGATTGGCATTCAAGAAACATCTTGTCTTAGCTAATGAGAATTGTTTTCTGGAGGTAAGATTTATTTCTGATCTGGGGATTTGGATGGGACAAAAGTGTTAAACAAAAAAGTTTGCTTATTAGCAGCACAGTGACAAAGCTGGACAGAGCATTATTTTTTATTTTAAACCTATTAAAAACATGTCTAAGATAGTGAAAGAAGTTTGAGTAAGGCTCTGAAAAGTGTAATTAATCTCTTGGCACGAGGAAGTGGTTTATAGCCTGCCCAGAATAAATTTAAATTTAAGAGGAGATTTATAAACATTCTATTTTTAATCTATTTAGGAATAACATTTGTAATATTCTTTGAATTTGTCTTGAGTGATTGACAAAGAGTGATAGAGATTAGGTCAAAATCACCCAACTGGCTTCATGCCTAAAGCAGAACTGGATATCAAACTCTCTTGGTTTCTAATCTGATGCCTTTAATGTTTTAATTTATTTGTGGGAGTAAAGATGGAATATAAATTATTTTAATGTATATTAAAATGTTAAAACAGAAATATGTTACTCTAATTTTTATTGCTAAATTGACATAATATTTATATGAATACAGATATATAATTTATATAAAGACATATAATTTGACATGTTGGATAGCACAGAAAATATTTGTGGGAGATGGGGAATACGCTAAATACATTTGTTGGAATCCACTATTGTACATACATTTTCAATTCATGGCTTTTTTTAAAAAAAGTATTTTATTGTTTATTTGTCATGAAAATGGTAATATTTCAAAAGCTTTCATTCCTTAAGAGAGAGTTCTATTTTATGTACAGTATTTCCATGTATACGAGGCACAAACATTCAATTATTTTAAAATTACATTTTATTAAGATGAAAACACTTTACTTGAAACTAGCTGAAGCTCTGGAAGGTCATCCTTGATAAGGCAGGATTTCTATTTCTCCAATTCCACTCCTTTACACTAGCTAAACTCCTACCAGTCCTCAAATTGAAGTCAGTTATAATGTTTACAAATCACAGTACTAGGATTCACATATCCTTACTAGCCCCAAACCACAAAAGCCTTATTGTGGCCCAGCCACATAAGGGTAACCTGTAATCACTGTATCTGTAATTGATAGGTCAGCCCCAACATCCAAATTTAGTGCCAGTTAGAGAGCAGCCAGCCAATGTCTGAATCTGAATACACATTTTCACTGATCAGTTTTGCTGTCACACAGACATGGGGAAATAATCTCAACTCCTTCCCATAATGGAAATAAAATGTTTGCCCTTTTCAGAACCAAAAGTAGTTGAATTTTAGAGAATTTGGATACTGGTGCTAGGGAAAGAAAAGAAGTCCTATTCTCCAATTATTAGGAAAATCTAAGAAAGATGGAACAAAATTCTAACAGAGTGAGCAGACAACTTTAGCTTCAGAACCAGCCGTCCTAAGTAATCAGTAATAGGTCCAGTTTGGAATTATGCATTCAGTTTAATCTCTCTTGTTCTATGTCTACTGTTTTGTCTTTGGTATTTTTGTTTTTGGTACATGCTCAGTAAATAATGCATTTTTGTAGAATGGCAGAGCTTCTCTAAACTGAGAAGTAAATCAACATATTATCTTTTAGGGGGATTTTTGTCACACAGCTCTTTCCTTTTATCTCCCTTCAATTTTAACGGATTTCTATGTAGCTCATTTCCAATTATCTGTGATTATTTAAGCATTTTAGTTTGTTCATTCATTCATTCTTTTTTTAAAACAATGTTGCATTTTATTCATCTCTTGTGGGATTGGTCTTTCTTTCCATAAAGAAGGAAGAAGGAAAGGATTTTCCTAACCATGAAACTCAAACCACAGTACTAGAGATGTTTATAGACTTTTTTTCGTTATTTTTCTTCTCTACCCTTTTGGTTTTCAATAATGCACACAAGCTTTACAAGCCCCATCTCTTCCCCGTGCCAAAGTTAATATAAATGAACATACTTTGATGGATATGAAGTGCAACAGCTGTCAGCGTTCCAGAACAACCCAACTCTAATCAAACACTCCAAGGCAAGCATCATCTCAAAACTTACATTTATTAGAGTAGACATACTGGCACATCTGGGAAACCTGAATCTGAGAGTTCCGGGTTTTCCCTCAATAAATCAAAACCCAAATCCATCCCCTGCACCCATCAGTCCATCACATGGCCCAAATACCATCCATCCCAACTTGAGCCACCACTGCAACCACTCCTCCTCCAGATGCAGGAGCACCAGAACCTTGACCAAAAAGAAGAATGCTATTATGTCTAACTACAATCTCTCTACTAAATCCCCCCTCCTACTTTCCAAGCGCATGAAGGTGACAGCGTGGAAGCTTCCGGTGTGTTCTGCCCCAGTTATGGACCCCAAAGAACACAGCACACACAAAGTCCATACAAACCTTAGTTTACTAATTAAAGACTACTAATGAGCTTTCTTAGTAGTAGTTCGAACACAAATACAGTTTAAATCAGTCTTTTCTGAACAAGGACTGTTAACAGCCGACAAGAATCCAAAGAATAATAACTCAATTCTGAGGTACAGTATTTCAGATAACCGTTATCTTACTGTGGTTGGCAGAATGCCCAGAAGCAATTTGCAGGAAAACTGACAAGAGATAAACAAGAGCCGAATCAAACATTTCTGGAATCAAGATGTGAAGGAATATGAATGAAGTTGTTTCCTGCAAATTGCATCAGTCGTCGTCCTTCCTTAAATAGGCTAGGGGATTGGCCAATTAGCCCCAAGCCTTATCCTTGAGGAGACCTCCTCCTGAAGAGCCACTCCTGCCTTTTAACAGCTCTACGCGCTTGTGCATCGAGAAGAGGCTCCTCCTCTTCTTCCTCTTCACTTATGGGAGCTTCTGGAGGTTCTGAAGGCCCTGGCTGAATCTCCGCCTCTGGCACCACATCTTCTCCAGCCTCCTCATTGTCTGACTCGAGCACCAGCTGCACAGGCTGCTGGCACAGCACCACACCAGCCTCCTCGCTGTCGGAATCAGCTACTAACTGCAGAGGCCGCTGACAGGCCACAACACGGTGTTAATATGGCTTCCAAAGCTAACATCAGCATTTAAAGATGGTGGTGCTATTATTCTGTATAAATAAGAGAGGCAATTGCTTTGTTAAATTCCATCAATCCATCCCATTGTAGTTCAAGACAATGTTCATATATTTATTGATTAGAACATTTATAGGCTATCAATTCCACATGGAATTCTGACAATCTTTGTTGGACTTCAAACCCGATCAGCAAGAACTTGTCTGTTTGTCAGGAAATTAAAGCATGTTATTAAAAATAAAAACAAACGATAAAACAGTATAAAAATCACCATGGGGGAATCAATTAATTTTAAAAAATTCATTGCAGCCCCCCAAATTGCAAAACTTTAATAAAACCCCAATAAGAAAAGTAGGCATACAGATAGTGCACAACTTACAACTATTTGTTTAGTGCAGTGGTGGGATTCAGCTGGTTCAGGCCAGTTTGGGAAAACTGGTAGTCAAATTGCTGGCTGGCTCCGCTCCTCCGCTCCCCGCCCCCTCCAGGAATCCCCACGCACCCCATTTTGGCTTCCAGGTAAGTGCAGGAAGGCTTCCTAGGCCCAAAATGGAGCACGGGTGGCATGTCCCCCCCATTTTTGCTCCCAGGGGGGTGCAGGAAGGCTGAGTGCTGCCTGTCACACCCCCTGGCCACGCCCATCATGGCCACACCCACCCAGCTGGTCATTAGAGCAGAGAACCGGTTGTTAAATTTATTTGAATCCCACCACTGGGTTTAGTGACAGTTTGAATTAAAACAGTGACTTACAAGCACTGATGCACAGTGTCTGTTCTTATGAGAGTTTTATTTAACAGCTATTTGAGAATAAAAACTAGGAAATGATTAGCTAATTCTGCTGGGGGAAAAATGACTAACCATCGGGCACAATTTCATGTAAACATTAGAAATGAAAAGATAAGAAAAAACAAAAACAGCTTGCAGGATCTGTTTTAAAACCTCAGTCATATCCTAGAGGCAGAAGGATTTTTTTTTTCAAAAAAAAGTGAAGGATTGTCATTTCTATAGAGAGAGTAATTAGTAGTGCTCATCAATAGCGTTTCATAATTTGTGTAATGTGCAAACACCGTGCACGTTAAACAAGCATCTAGCATCATATTAACTGATCCAGTCTGTTGATCGGGCCTGTTTGCTCAATAGCTTAAGCCACACTGGGCCATTCGGGATCACTCTCTGTACACATCAACCATTTTGAAAGGAAACACAAAAGGGCTATATTTCCTTCCCTTTGCAATGCTTGCACAAGGTGGATGACGTGGCTCCTTTTGTCCATAATGTACCTAAAAGTTTAATTAAATGGGAGTTAAGATTTGCCTTTTCTGATAAGAGAAAAGATTTTTACACAGTTGCTTGCCTGACTCTCAGTTCCTGTTACCAGTTGTTTTCTAGTCATGTTGACCATCGATTTGCTTGGTTCTGACTACTGGAGGCCTTAAAAATAAATATGACATGCAATAGTGTATATGCTTCAGAAGCGTGTTTTCCCTTTCCTGTCAGTATGGCAGAGAAGACATGAATTATTTTATCTTTGGAATACATTTTGTGAAAGAAAGGAAAGCAAGGTCAGAAAAAAGGGGCAACAGGGGATGTAATGGGGGAGGGAGCATCCTTTGAACCCAGAAAGTGGGAAAATAATACTTCTAGCTAGCTAGCTGGAAGTTCTACACTATTTTCTCATTGCTATATAGAGACCTAAAGCAAACTATCAAGCTTAGAAAGCAGCCAGATTCTACAAAAATAAATAAATGTAAAATGGACAAATTACACCAGATAGCATATTGTTTCTAAAACTATCTAAGGATTATGTCACACAATTGGAACACAAGGGTCTGCAGATGTAACGGAAAGTATGAACTACCTTGGGAGAAAGGGGAAGAAGATATGCTGTCTAGGAAACAATCAGACAAGAGTGACAGGAGCCCACTTAATGGTCAGAAAAACAATTTAGGAAGGACCAGGGGTGAAATCCAGCGGTT